GAAAAAGGAGTAGGATTTACTTTTTTAAGTTTAAATGCATATTAAAGAATGGAAAACATTTTTTTTTAATTTTATAACAAATTATTCGAAATTGACTATTATTTTTTATAACCAAAACGGTTAAATAAATTTTTTGAAAAGTTTAAGTTTGGGAATAAAAAAAATATCCAATAAAAAATTAGTCAATTTTGAATATGAAATTTTACCGTCGCCATTTTGTTATATAACTTTTAAAATAAAATTTCTTTTCTCACTTAGTTAAAATTTTATCACTAAAAATAATAAACATAGATTTTTATGCTGAGCTTCGATACCAACTTCGGGATCCTCAATAATTTCAGGCATCACAGTACCTTTTTTCCTCAAAAAAGGTGAAAAGGGTCATTTTTTCCCTCAAAAGGGGATCAAAAATTTATTCGTTTATACTTCAAAATTATATTCATCATTTCAATTCAATTATTATTTTCTGGAATTTTTAAATAAAATTCTTCTTTAAATCAATTATTTACAATAATTTTAAAAACTTCTGAGAATTTTCAAAAGTATTTGTTTACAATTCAATTTTACGAAATTTCATCAATTTTTCGGAAATTCTTCACGGGGAAAAATAGTTAGCTATTTCAGCTGATTTTTAGCTACCTTAGCTAACCTTAATTGCTATTATATGGATAGCAATTATTATTAGCTAATGCAGCTAATAATTAGCTAAAATAGCTAACTTTTTTGCTAAAACAGCTAATTATTAGCTGTAATAGCTAAAAATTCGCTATCCATATTACAGCAAACTCATTTTTTTCCGTGTTCAATTAAATATATATTTGAAAATAAAAACGTCAAATAATTTTAATTAAACTTTTTGAAAAAAATTAATTCTACAGAATTGTTATTTAAAAAAATAAAAATTTCAGAGTTCCAAAGATTTCAATTTGAAACTTTTTCAAAATTCAATTACTTATAAAAATTCACGCTATAATGCTTTTAATAATCAATTGTTATGTAAAATTTTAACTCAAATTCACTTTTAAATCAATTTCTATTACAAAATTCTACGAGAATTCAATTATTTAAAAAAAAATTAATAATTTATAAAAAATTTGTAAATAATAGAATTCCTGTGAAATTATTTTATTATTTTTTAAAATAACTAAACGTTTGCCTAGAATTTTAATAAATTTTTTTTGAAATAATTAAATTGTTTTGAAAAATTTTATTAAAATAGTAGATATTGAATATCATTGAATTAAGGATAATTTTTGTAAATAATTGAAATTTTTGCACGAATTTTATTAAAATTTTTGAAAATAATTTAATTTCGGAGAAGAATTTTATTATTTATAAAGAGAATTGAAATTTTGACGAGAATTTCTTTAAATTTTTGAATATAATTGAATGTTTGCAAAGAATTTTATTATTTTCGAAAATAATTGAATTTTTACAATTATTTCAAACTTCTCTAAAATTCAAAATTTTTTTAGTGTTTTTAACTGAAATTCCTCGTTAATTCCTTCTTTTTAATAATTAATTAAATATATATATATATATATACATGAATAATTGAAGTTTTGAAAATTTTTGCAAATATTTAAGTTCTTTAGAATTTTTAATCAAATTCATTCAAAATTGAAATGTTATTAAAGAAATAAAAATCTTTTGAAGTTCATCTATTTAGGAAAATTGTAAACGAAACTCTTTTAAAATTCAATTTATTTTGAAATGTATAAATAAAATTATTTATTAAATAATTTCTAAGTAATACCTAAATTTTATGATACAGTTCTTCAAGAATTAAGTTATTAAAAAAAAATTATGGTCAGAAATGGAAAAAAATTGAAGATTATGTATAAAAATTTTTGTTTCTCTTGAAAAAACTATTAATAATAATATTTTAATTATTTTAATGATAATTAATTATTTTTCCTTATTTTTAATTAGAAAAAGTAACAAGAAAAGGCGATAAATAAGCAAAAAAGGTGAAAAAGGTGATAAAATTGAAATAAGGGGATAAAAGGGAAAAAGGGGACTAACTGTGATGCCTGAATTTTATTTATGAATATAAACATTTTGCAAGAGTAGAGATGATTTTATCACTCAGTCGTTTTTTAATAAACGATCACTCCGAGTCAAGGAAACATTTTCCTCTCTATAAACATTTTGCATTGTGGAAGAAGGATCTAAGTGAATTCGTTATTTAGATCCCTTTTCGACTTTAAAAATCAATTTATCAATTTTTATTAAAGAAAAAGAAAATATTAAAGGAACACTTTATTGGACAGTTTTTTAAAAAGTTTTTTTAAAGACTTTTAAAAACGATTTATCAATTTTTATAAAAAAACAGAAAATATTAGAGAAACATAAATATGAAGGTATAATAATATACTAAAATAAACGTATTTATATATACCTATATATCGTGTTAATAATAATAATAATAATTAATAATAAATATTATAAAGAATTATTGTACTTTTATATAATGGAAAAAAATTTAAATTTTGAGATTGACATACCTAAATTCAAAACTTTGTTTAAACATAATTATAACTACACAATATTGATGAAATATATTTACCTGATCCATAAGAATAGATGATAACTGAATATTCTCTTTCTTTTTATTGTTTTTTACAAGGATTTCTAATGCTGTTTTCAAAAGCAGTTGGTTAGACATTTTACACTTCTAATATTCACTTACAAAATATTAAAAAAATAAATTAAATAATCTAAAATAAGCAAAAATGTACAAAAATAATAAAAATAATTAAAACTACAAACTATAAACTAAGAAAAGAATAAAAGAAACAACTCTTAACTCTATACAAAAAGTAAAAAAAAATAAAAAGTACTTAAAATCTCTACGAAATAAGAAACACAAAAATAAATAATAAATGAAAAACACACAATGCAAATAAAAATTATTTTTGTAACATAATAAGAAACACAAAAATAAATAGTGAATGAAAAACACAATGCAAATAATAATTAATTTCGTAAAAAACGATCGTAAAAAGAAGCACGTGGGCCACACAAGAGACTTTCCAAAAAAGATTATTTCCTTATGAAAAACTTCTGTTTCAACTTTACTTCCCCTTTTCTTTACGAAGGTGCTAGTGCGAAAAACAAGCGCTGCAATTGGTCGGTGATGAGTTACCCCTCCTCCCCACTCCAAAGTAAAGTTGCGAACCATTGCGAACAGCGTTGTCTATTACCAAAAATATTCTGCTGCTAGGGCCGTATTAATATTACGTAAATATACAATTTTCGGAAAAGGAGAAATTCATCAGAAGCGGTTTTAAATGGGTTTTTTTTGTAATACGACGCCGCTGTACAGCGTCAATCATTGCAGAGTTAATGTTTGTACCATTTACAAATTACGTAAGGCTCTAAGGGGAGGGATGTTAAAAATTCGGAAAATAGTCCTTACGCAATTTGTACACGGTTTCTTAATGTTAGAAAGAAATTGTCACTTCAATACTGATTTTTTATCTTTCGGAATAGAAATTTTTTTCATTCTTTTCTTTCAGTACATTTTCAGTTGATTATATTAAGAGGATACCATATTTTATTATATTATTATCCTTATTATTATTATCCTTATTAGGATACAAATTTTTTTTGAAATTCTGTAGGAATATTAGGAGACTTACTAGGAGTAATTTTCAAAAATAAAATCCTTGGTCAATTCATAACTCAAATTTTGAAATTTTTTTTCTATATTTATATCAATTTTTCCATTTTTGAGGGCAAGAAAATGAGAGTTTCCAGGCAGCAATTTTTTAGAAATTCTCCAGGATGATTAGGAAGACTCACTAGGAGCTATTACGAAAAATAAAATCCTTGGTCAATTAATAACTCTAATTTTCACAATTTTTTTCATTATTTTTTACTAATTTATCGATATTTGAGGGCAAAAAATTAAAAGTTTCCAGGCAGCCATTTTTTTAAAATTGTGTAGGAATGTTAGAAGACTCACCAGGAGCGATTACCAAAAATAAAATACTTGGTCAACTGATAACTTTAATTTCCAAAATTTTTTTCTTTGTTTTTAACTAATTTTTCGATATTTTAGGGCAAAAAATGGAGAGTTTCCGGACAGCGATATTTTGAAATTGTGTAGGAATGTTAGAAGACTTACCAGGAGCAATTACCAAAAATAAAATCCTTGGTCAATTGATAACTTTAATTTCCAAAATTTTTTTCTTTGTTTTTAACTAATTTTTTTATTCTTGAGGGAAAAAAATTTAGAGTTTCCGGGCAGCGATTTTTTTGAAATTGTGTAGGAATGTTAGGAGACTCAATAGGAGCCATCTAAAAAAAATAAAATCCTTGGTCAATTAATAACTCTAATTTTCAAAAAAATTTTCTTTATTTTTACTAATTTTTCGAATTTTGGGGAAAAAAATTTAGAGTTTCCGTGTATCGAATATTTTGAAATTGTGTAAGAATGTTAGGAGGCCCACTAGAAGCCTATACCAAAAATAAAATCTTTGGTCAATTGATAACTCTAATTTTCACAATTTTTTTTCTTTATTTTTACCTATTTTTTCGATTTTTGAGGGCAAGAAACTGATAGTTTCCGGGCAGCAATTTTTTTGAAATTATATTTGCATATTAAGGTACTTACTAGGAGTAGTAAACAACAAAAGAATCCTTGGTCAAATTATAATTGTGGATCTGACATATGCCGTTGTCATTTTGGTATGGTTTGCATACATATAGTTGTTATTTTAAAGTTTTTAAAAAAAGTAATTTTTTGGAATTTTGAGTTTCGATATTTGCTTTCTGTTGTGTTTGTGACTTTTCTTTTGATCTCTGTAAGTTAAATCTTCTATTTTAAAAAAAAAAATTTTCTTTGATAAACGTTGTAGACTTCTACGTCGTCAGTAAGGTACTTTTTGGTTTAATATTAAGTAAGTTATTATTTGTTCTCTTATGTAATTTTAATTGAAGTTTTTATTGGTAAAAAATGTAAATTTTATGTTTTTAATGTTATTATGCTATAGATAATGACGTCTATCAAGAATTTCTTAATTCAAGCAAGAGACCATTTTCTTGTTCAGATGAAGATGAAGGATTTCTCTCCGGTACCGTTTTTAATACTAATTACTCTTAAAGTAGTTAATTTATTTTAAAAGCTTTATTAATTTGGAACTTACTTCTTTAGATAATGAACCAGTACCCATTGTGCAAGAAGAAGTCCAGTCTCGAGAAAGTCGTTTGAATCAAATGGATGTTCCATTGCCCGAGTTAGATCCATTTTCTGATTTTGACAGTTCCGAGGAGTAGATACTATATTGAATAGTTATTTTTATACGCTTGTGATACAACTATTCATACAACACCTTAAGAAGAGAATTTAGAATTAAGTATTAATAATAATATTTAAATTTATTTTAGAGAGTTTTAAAATTCAAAGACTGATTCTTTTTCACTGAAGCATTTGGATTATAATTCTATGATTTCTCCTTTACTTATAAAAATTGCATTTAGATTGTGTAAATTAGACTAAATTGACCCTTTTACTCAATCTTCTGAGTTACTTTTTATCGTTTTATTAGACAGCAATAACAATTTTTTATTTCACTTTTTTTATTTCCATATATTTTTAAATTTTTTTATACTGATGAAAACTCAATAAAAATTACGAATAAAAATGTAAAAGGGTGAATGTACTTCTGGCAGTAAATCCATAAAAATAAAAATTCGAAAAATCTCTAAGAGATAAAATTTATGTAGATGAGAAACTATTTGGTTCAGCGTATCTTTATATCATTTACTTTTTATGTATTTATAGTAACTTTAATTTTGTAATAAGTCCATGATTGTGAAACGAAAACTTTTTTAAAAATAAATGGAAAGCATATTAATCACAAAAAGTAATAGAAAAAGTTATTATTTTATTTAATTGAAAAGATTATTATTATTTTTTATTTATTTTATTAGATTTATTATTTTATTCTTTTTCTAGCTAATATATATTGCACACCTATCATGTTTCATGTTGTACAGCATGTTATAACATATATATATTAACCCATATAAAAAACATGTTATTCTGTGTCCACGTGACCAATATACTTTACTATGGAAATACGTCACACTGAATAACATGGCCTTAAGGTCATGTGTACGCAGAAGCAAAACTCAAAAAGTGAGTATTTCAACTTTAGCCTGACGCCTAGTAATAATGTTTGATATTAGAAGTTTTTTAATTTTGAAATAAATGTACCGTCGACGGGGGCTATTCTGGTACACCGGGAGCTATTATGATACAAGCCAGTTTTCAATTTATAAAATTTTCATTTAAAATTATTTAAAGGTACTTGGTGTAATTGTTGTTCGACATATTGCCGATAAAGAAAGTGCAATGTTATAAGTGAATACTTTGTCTAGAGTATTCATAAAATTAGTTAAACAGAAAAAAATGTTGTTGACACTAGAGGGAGATCTGTAAAAAGAAGTGCTTGCTAAGTGTTTGCAATTTAGTTATGATGATGTGTACGCGATGGGCTATTTCTATTAAGCTTTCTATTAAGCATGTTAAGAGTAAAATCCAAAAAAATGAAAGTTCAGCATTTACAGGGGGTATATTATGGTACACAATTAAAAATAGTTATTTTACGAAAATACATGGTCTAATGAATAAAAAATATTACAGTTTCACCTCGTGCAAAAGGAAAAGGATATTTTCTATTGTTTCTTTAATATAAAAAATGTTATAAAAAATGTTTGTATTTAAAAGTAAACACTACATTAAAAAATAAACTTAATTTTGGTGAAATTTTCGTATTCTACGTTCTATATAATTATAGTAAAAGTTTTTATAATAATTATTATTTTTTAGCGTTTCAATAAACAATTATTGTTTTCTAGAATATGTACTTACAAGTTTTTATAATGTTTAACAAAATTAAAAAAATTTTAGTTTATTTTATGAACAAAAATAAAGTTTGTACCATAATATTAAAACGACGCGTAAGTAAACTTAATTTCCATTGGAAAGAGAGGGGAAGAAATGTTTGCTAACCTTTTTCAATTTTGGATTTCGTTCATGAGGAATAAAATATCTAATGTTATATAAAAATGTAAAATATGGTATTTTATTTTAAATTCATGGTTCCTTTCCTCATTCCCCAGTGTCATTCTATCATTTGAAGGTCATTTTTATTCATTTACTTAAATATTTGATTGATTTTCTACAGTGGCTCAACTCTGACTACCATGTTCAACCCTGACTACTTTTTTTAAATTGCTTATAACTGCAAAACTTTTCGTCAAACTTTTTTACAAAATTTTTTACAAAACTAAAAAGACGACTCCCACCACTTCTCTAACTCGTCCCTCCTAAATGATTCACACCTATATTCTCACCATGCTGCCTCTATTCCCATTTATACCTCTCAACGCACAAATAAACTTGAATTACCTTTTACTAAAATTTCTTGTTTCTAGCAAAATGTAAGGGGTCTACGAAATAAATTATCTACGTTAAGAAGTACATTTCCTTTGTTAAATTACGACATTTTTATATTATCGGAAACGTGGCTTCATGGTAATATTAATTCCTCGGAACTCTGTTTTGATAAATTTGATATTTACAGATGTGATAGAAATTCTCAAACTAGTCTTAATACGATGGGGGGTGGTGTTCTTATTGCTGCTAATGCTAATTTAAAAAGTACCCAAGTTTTAACTTCTGATAGATCTATTGAACATTTATTTATTAAATTTACAATTCTGTCTCAACTTGTGGTGCTGGGTGTTTTTTATTTGCCACCAAATAGTACTTTGCAACAGTATACTGCTGTATCTCAAATACTTGAAGATGTGTACCTTAGACTGTGTCCATCTGTTTTTATTGTCACGGGTGATTTTAATGTGCCTTTTGCCGTGTGGAATCTTTCTTCTAACAACTTTGTAATTTGCTCTTCTAAATCTGGATCATCTAGAATACAGTGTCACATTGTTGATGTTCTATCTGACACTATCAACTTTTTGAAACTTTCGCAAATTAATAATTTTTTTAACCCATTAACGCCCAACTCGTGAAAATTCTTTGGTCATTTTCAAGCTACGTAATTATAAATAAAACGGTTGACAATTTAAACCAGAGGTACATTTTCTAAAGGTTTTGGATGTGCTCTTTCCGATTCCGGTGTCAAAAATAAATTTCGTCCAAACCAAAATTAAATATGGCGGTTTTAATGTCAAAAAACACAAAAAAAATTCATTTTTTCAAGTTTGACATTTTTTTTCACCTTGAAAAAGTATAAGAATAAAATTCTATTTTCAACCATCGGTGCATAAAAATTATACACTTTCAAGAACCGTAAAGTAGAATTAAGAATTTCAAGATGGCGGACCAATATGGCGTCAAATCTCTAAAGTAAAATTTAAAAATTTTGGGCAATATTGGTCAAATTGCCCAAAAGTCAATGGATTCGCCTGAATTTTGTTACTCGGGGGTTTTTGGGGTCGCTGATTACGAATATAAACTTCATTTTCAAAAATTCAAAATGGCGGATCCAATATGGCGGACGAGTTTTACAAAATTTCATCGAATTCACTTGAAACTTGTCACTCGGGGGTTTTTGGGGTCGCTGATTACGAATTTGATGTTACTTTTTCAAAATTCAAAATGGCGGATCCAATATGGAGGACTTATTTTTTAAAACTGATCAAATTCACTTGAAACTTGTTACTCGGGGGTTTTTGGGGTCGCTGATTACGAATATAAACTTTATTTTCAAAAATTCAAAATGGCGGATCCAATATGGCGGACGAGTTGTACAAAATTTCATCGAATTCATTTGAAACTTGTCACTCGGGGGTTTTTGGGGTCGCTGATTACGAATATGAACTTCATTTTCAAAAATTCAAAATGGCGGATGCAATATGGCGGACTTATTTTTTAAATCTGATCAAATTCACTTGAAACTTGTTACTCGGGGGTTTTTGGGGTCGCTGATTACGAATATGAACTTTATTTTCAAACATTCAAAATGGCGGATGCAATATGGCGGACAAGAATCTTCAAATTTCATTCTATTGACTTAAATTTTGTTACTCAGGGGTTTTTAAGATAATTTTGAATCTCTTGGCGGACAGCAAAATTGGAAAACTCATTTAATTGGTTCTCGGTGTTGTTTATGCACATAAACTGAAAAAATATATTTATGGTACTGATATAAATATAACCAATTCTCAGATATTATATTAGTGTATATGGAACTGACATACAGTATTGCTGTTTCAGCCATATGGAGTGTAGAACAGCCATACACGGTGAGCTTGGATGAAATTCAACCCAAAAGTCATGACCCTTTCTGGTTTATTTTTGATATCATTTAAGTGATGTCTAATAATCATTTTAAGATAAAAATTAAATTAATCGTTGGAGGGAAACTCAAATTATATTGATTTTTTAATTTTTTTCTAGGTTATTGTACATATTTTCTGAAAGATAATGTTTTAAACAATATTTATTACTTCAAAAGATATCTTTTAACATTAAAAAACATTCTATTTAGTAAAAACAATATTTTAATATATAAAGCTAAAAAATTGTTGAAAAAATGTGAATTTTTTCGTTTTTCTGAAAATTACTCTTTTATAAGTCATTAAACACTAATATTATGCAAATGTAAATTAAAGTACATAAAATTTCCTGGAAAACTAAACAAGAAAAACTATTCTATCTATTGTTGTTACATAAATATGATGATTTAAAGTTCGTTTTTAATGAAAAAGTAATTGAAATTTATCATTAAGTCCAGTTTCTTTAGTGAAATTTTTTTTTCTGGACCTTACTTGAAAACCATATAATAATATGTTTAAAATTAACTTTTTAAACATATTATTATATGGTTTTCAAGTAAGGTCCAGAAAAAAAGATTTCACCAAAGAAACTGGACTTAATGACAAATTTCAATTACTTTTTCATTAAAAACGAACTTTAAATCATCATATTTCTGTAACAACAGTGGAAAGAATAATAAATAGTGAAAATACGACTGAGTGATAGAATCATCTCTACTCTTAATAGATGGAAAAGTTTTTCTTGTTTAGTTTTCCAGGAAATTTTATGTACTTTAATTTACATTTGCATAATATTAGTGTTTAATGACTTATAAAAGAGTAATTTTCAGAAAAACGAAAAAATTCACACTTTTTCGACAATTTTTTAGCTTTATATATTAAAATATTGTTTTTACTAAATAGAATGTTTTTTAATGTTAAAAGATATCTTTTGAAGCAATAAATATTGTTTAAAACATTATCCTTCAGAAAATATGTACAATAACCTAGAAAAAAATTAAAAAATCAATATAATTTGAGTTTCCCTCCAACGATTAATTTAATTTTTATCTTAAAATGATTATTAGACATCACTTAAATGATATCAAAAATAAACCAGAAAGGGTCATGACTTTTGGGTTGAATTTCATCCAAGCTCACCGTGCATATGTATGTGAGAGACAGTAATATGTATGTAAAGAACAGAAATACAGTATTGCTCTTTCATCTATAATACCTTACTATACTCGTATGACAAAATCGACAATATCATTTTTTTCAGTGTAATTAGAAAGAAAGCAAGTTTATATATAGTAGGCGATACATATATGCACATTCTGCAATTGCCATTGGTGGTCCACGGTTGCATCTGAAGTATAATAGGAATATTATTTTTTACATACGTTATGTTTCTCTGGCCCTTTATAGTGGCATAAATTATTTATTTTCTTGTTTTATTCTAAAGAGAGGCAGTTTTTTCATACAGCACGATATTGTCATTTTTGTGTATAGTTGTTGCATTCAGTTATTGATTTTTAACGGTTGGGTTTTTAGAAATGCCGCCAAAAGCAAAACGTGCTAAAAAGTCATACACGCGTGAAATAGAATACCCCAAAAACCCCCGAGTAACAAGTTTCAAGTGAATTTGATCAGATTTAAAAAATAAGTCCGCCATATTGCATCCGCCATTTTGAATTTTTGAAAATGAAGTTCATATTCGTAATCAGCGACCCCAAAAACCCCCGAGTAACAAAATTCAGGCGAATCCATTGACTTTTGGGCAATTTGACCAATATTGCCCAAAATTTTTAAATTTTACTTTAGAGATTTGACGCCATATTGGTCCGCCATCTTGAAATTCTTAATTCTACTTTACGGTTCTTGAAAGTGTATAATTTTTATGCACTGATGGTTGAAAATAGAATTTTATTCTTATACTTTTTCAAGGTGAAAAAAAATGTCAAACTTAAAAAAATGAATTTTTTTGTGTTTTTTGACATTAAAACCGCCATATTTAATTTTGGTTTGGACGAAATTTATTTTTGACACCGGAATCGGAAAGAGCACATCCAAAACCTTTAGAAAATGTACCTCTGGTTTAAATTGTCAACCGTTTTATTTATAATTACGTAGCTTGAAAATGACCAAAGAATTTTCACGAGTTGGGCGTTAATGGGTTAATGTGCATGATTCTCTTTTGGATTTATTGTTTACAAATTATAAATATTGTATTTTAAATTTAACTGATGATGAACTGGTGCCAATTGATAATTTTCATCCACCTTTCACATTAGAGTTTAAAATTTTTGGTAAAAATCATTTTGTAAATAATAAATTTTATTCTTCAATGAGATATGATTTTAAGAATGCTAATTTTTCAGGTCTTTTTTTATATTTTAATTCAATTAAATGGATGAAAATTTTATCACCACTTAACTTAAATGATGCACTTAATGTATTTTATAATATCTTGTATGATGCGTTTGAGATTTATGTACCTTTGAAGAAATCGCATTGTTCTACATATCCTGTATGGTTTAGTGATGAGCTTGTCTGTTTGTTAATTTCTAAGAAGGCTGCACATTTAAAGTATAAGTCGTCCAAGTCTCCCGAGGATTACAGAGTGTTTTCTGCCCTTAGATCCAAGTGTAAATCGGTTTCAAAGAAATGTTATAGTGATTATATGCACAGGGCAGAGGATTCGGTTGAGTTGAATCCTAAATATTTTTAAAGTTTTGTTAATAAAATTAGAAGTAAATCTTATATTCCTAATCACATGTTTTTGAATGATAAAGAGGCCGAAAATGATGATGAAATTGCTGAATTGTTTTCTGAACGTTTCAGGTCTGTATACGATTCTAAAAACTATGACTCTTCTTTTTTGTTTAATATTAACTATACTGGTTTTAATGACTTAATTAATTTTAACTCTGTTACTATCAGCAGAAATGCAATTTTTGAGAAAATTAAGGAGTTAAATGTGAACACTGGTGCGGGACCGGATGGTATTTCACCATACTTTATCAAATCTTGCTGGTCTCCCCTCATTGAACCCTTGTACATTTTGTTTAATTTATCATTGTCACAGTGTCAATTTCCGACTTTATGGAAAAAGGATTCATTTCTCCAATTTATAAGGATGGTGATAAAAAGGATATAGTCAACTATCGTCCAATTACAATTCTTAACGTATTTTCTAAATTACTTGAGAGTATTGTGTTTGATCAGTTTTATACTGCAGTTGAGAATATTATAATTGATGAGCAACATGGTCTCATGAGGGGCAGATCTACTGCTACTAATCTTTCTATTTTTACTAATTATCTTTCCTGTAAACTTGAATCGGGTTCTCAGATAGACACTGTTTACACAGAATTTTCAAAGGCATTCGATAAAGTAAACCATGACTTACTTCTAGCCAAGTTGAAACTTTGGGGTGTGGGATCGAATCTTGTTGATTGGTTTAAAAGTTATTTAAATGGTCGATCTCATGTTGTACGTGTTAATAGAACATATTCATCTGAGTTTTTTGCTGATTCTGGTGTTCCACAGGGTTCAACACTGGGTCCACTATTATTTCTAGTTTTTATTAATGACATTAAATTTAAAATTAAGTTTTCCAATTTTTTATTGTTTGCAGATGACTTAAAGATTTAGTATGGTTAATTGTCTTGATGATTATGTTAAATTACAAAGTGACCTCGATTCTCTCCTCAGCTGGTGTGAACTGAATGGAATGCCTTTGAATATAAATAAATGTTATTCTATTTCTTTTTCTAAAAAAATAAACTAATTTAAAAAAAAAAAAAATAATTTAATTTCTAAATAAATTGTATATATACAATTAATAATAATATACTATCTAGAGTGTATCAAGTGCGTGATCTTGGTGTTGTCTTATCTTATGATTTAACATTTGACGCACACATTTCCTATGTTGTTAGTAAATCACTGAGAATAATGGGTTTTGTTATGCGTAATTCCAAGGTTTTCCATAAGTTATTACACTAAGAATACTCTATTTTTCCTTAATTCGGTCTGTTATTGAATATTGTTCGTTGATTTTCGTTCACGTTCTAAGACTCGAACGAGTACAGAATCGTTTTCTGCGTTTTTTAGTCAAACAACTTAATGTTCCCTTTGATTTTTATATACATGATTATATTAGTTTAAGAACTCAGTTTAAAATTCCCAAGATTGAATCTAGATTTTTGTTTGTTGACCTACTTTTTCTTTTCAAGGTAATTAATGGTTTAATCATGTGTCCCTCAGTATTGTCACTAATCAATTTCTCTGCTCCTGTGCGACGCTTGCGATATGTTACTCCATTTTTCCAATCATTTCATAGAACGAACTATGGCAATAATTCTGTTTTTAGTAGACTTTGTTTTGAGGGTAACTTATACTCGGATGATTTGGATTTCTTTCATAATAATGTTACATCTTTTGTGACTAAATTGCGTTCATTGCTTTATACTGAAAATGTTTGATATGCATCTATGGCTCTGTAATTTTGGTTAAGTTACTTGTAATATTGAAGGGTCTTTATTGTTACCCGTATATGTCATAAATAAATAAAACTAGTTAATATTTATTGTAATTATGTGGGCATATCTCTAGAACCTTTAAGTTTTCAATGAGAAAAAATTTTTTAATTTTTTTTCAGCACAGTATTGAAACTCTGTCTACATAAACTTTAAGAAATAAGCATTTAAAATATGCAAGTGGACAGATGAAATAATTTGTCTTCAAAAAATTAAAAGTTATAAACTATTTAAAATTGCGAATTATTTTTAACGTGCAACAAAAAAATATTTAACAGGTGTTTGTTTTTTAGAATCGAAAACAGTTGAAAGTAATTAACTAAGGGGTTATAATTTATAATAATAATTATATTATTATATAATATATTACTTTTATATTTATTATATTATTACTGGTCATTAACATTACTTTTCTTTTTTTTGAATTAATAAAAAATTAAAATGGTTTTTATTTTAAAAATAGATTTTAATTAAACTGAATTGTAAAAATATGAAATTATAATGTATAAAGTTTACCTTGCAATTTCCACATACATTTTATTTAAATTTAACACTCACAAACTTTCCAATTTCTATTAATTTTTTTCTATTTTTCTTTCTTCTTATATCTTATTTTTTTCAGAATTAATTTTTTTGGATCATTTATTCTGTGTAAAAAAATCAAAATAAACATTGAAACTTAACCTTCAGTTTTATTTATTAAAAGTTTCTATAAAAAAGTGAGAATCAACAACTTCATACTTAACAATTTCTTTTCTAAAAACTTTTGGTTGATTACCTACGGTCGACCGTAATTAACAAATATTTTTACATTATCTTTGCAATAAAGTATTTTTTCTTGAAGCACATTCACGGGATGTTAAATTGCACATGCGAAAATATTTACAAGCACTTTTAAAATACTTTTATTTGATTTTCGTGGAGTATCACTCGAATTACAGTCGTTTTCAAATTTTGTACGCACGTGTTTTCTGTTATTTAAATTACAACTGTTTTTTGAAGACACGTGGCACATGAATTTACTATGTCTCAAAATAATTCTAATAATTTGAACTTTTATTTCCCGTAAGTCATTTTGATGTGCCATTTGTCTTATTAATGAAATGATAAATATATGGATTACGATCAAAAAAATTAAAATTGAGGGACAACTTTTAAAAGCTTATAACTTTTTTCACAATTAACAAATTTTTAATTTTCATACGGAAAAGTGTTCACTGTTTAATTAACTTTAAAAAGATGCGTCTTAGAATTAGTAATTCTAATTCATTACAAAGTTTTATCGTTTAACCCATCCGAAAGTATGGTTAGGGACAAGTAAATATTGTAAAAAATCGGGCACTCAAATTGAAATAATTATTGATCTATTTAATAAATTAATGTAAAACCTTTTGGAACTAATTCATCTTATCAAGCTTTAATATTTCCAACAAAAATAAAGTAAAAAGTTATTGAAATTATCGAAATATATGCGAGGGACATGAAAGTTAAAGGTTCCAGAGATATGCCCATGTATATTTAAGTTTAATTAATTATTTTACTTGAAGAAATACTCAAAATCCTGTAGTAAAATAATATTATAATAATTGTTACAAGATAATTATTATTATAATCATTTTACTTAGCGCCAGAATATTTTACTCGAAAATATTCAAAAGATTAATTTATTAACTCGGGGTGATCGATAACTTCAACTCTATTATTAAAATTTGCCGAGTGATAGCTTCAATCATTAAATATTGATTTATTAAGCTTTAAACGTTTGCCAGACTAATTCAGAAATTGTCGGGAAAATTCCCAACAAACCGTGGAGGGGTGAGGTAAGGAGATAAACACATTAATTAGCCACTGTCACTGAATTTAATTTTTTCATAATTAATTTTATTTAATTTAATTTACTTTAAATTCCAGTATTAATTTACAATTTATTTATTCGGCAGAAGGCCGGATTTTAGAATTTAAATTACCGCATCACAAAACGGTGACAAGCATCACTCTCAACATTCGAAAATTTTTAATAATAATTATTTGCCAATATGGCGAGATAGCAATATCTTCGACGACTTCGACGACTCGTTCAGCCTCCAGAGCATTCGTTTGTTTTTTTAATAAATTTAATCACACATTTAATTAAAAATAATATACGAAACTTTCGAAGAAAACCTTTTCTCGCGCAAGGGGTTGATGAAAACGTCGTCTGCAATTCGTGGAGAAAAATGATTTTCTTCACTAGTTACTTTCCCCCTCCATAACTTCCTAAGAAAGCTAATTTTGAGTTCAAAATTGCAGAAATTTATATTCATGGGGATACCAATAAATGAACCAAATTTGTAGAAAAAAGAGGACGCACTTTTTGTACACTTAATCCAGGGCTCGGATCGAATTTAAGACTCAAAAAAGGCGCTTTAGTCGCAAAAATTTATAACAAAAGTCACGAAAAGTCGCATAAAATTTCCGAAAAAGTCGGAAAAAATTCGCATAAAATCTTAGAAAAAACGACAAAAAGAAAACACGAAATTGTCAAAATTGTAAAAAAAATCACATTTATCGACAACAGATGCATTAATATCAAACAATACGGAATAAAATTTAAAAAAACTCCAAGCAAAATTTTAATTAGGTATTTTTAACCTTTTTTTTAAAATTCTCTTTAAAATGTAAAATATTTTTATAAATAATAAAATTCTTCTCGAAAATTCAATTATTTAAAAAAAATTTAATAAAATTCTTGCCAAAATTTCAATTATCTTTATAAATAATAAAATTCTTCTCTAAAATTCAATTACCTTCAAAAGTAAGAAAATTCTTCTGCAAAATTTAATTACTTTTAAATATTTTTAAAAAAATCTGTTCAAGATTTCAATTATCTTCATAAATAATAAAATTCTTCTCTGAAATTTAATTATTTGTAAAAATAATAATAAAATTCTTGTCTAAATTTCAATTATCTTTATAAATAAAAAGATTCATCCTAGAAATTCAATTATTTTCAAGTTTTTTTTTAAATTCCTCGTCAAAATTTTATTTATCTTCATAAATAATAAAATTAATCCTGGAAATTTAATTATTTTCAAAAGTTCTGATAAAATTCTTTGCAAAATTCAATTATCTTCAAAAGTAAGAAAATTCTTCGCAGAAAATCAATTATTTTCGAATTTTTTTTAAAATTCTCCACAAAATTTCAATTATTTTTGTAAATATAAAAATTATTCTGCAAAATTCAATTACTTACTAATGTTTTATAAATTTATTCTCAATAATTCAATTATTTTCATAAAAAATAATTACAAAAATTTTTTTTTATAAAGTATTATATGTAATATAAAATAATGATTTTATCACTCGGTCATCTTTAATTGTAATAAAACATGAAGACATCGATTGCTCCGAGTCGAAGACTCGGAGTGATCGATTTCTTCTTGTTTTATAACAATTTTTTATAAGTTGTTTAACTTCAAAAAGGTTTGAATTTGAATCTTTTGAAGAATTTTATTTCCTATGGAAAAATAATAATTAAATATTTATTTAAAAAAGAAGTTATTGATGTTTTCGAAGAATTTAAAAGAAATTTGTATAAATAAATGTATCATTTTTTTGACTAAAACATTTTCCTTCAATTTTCTAAAGATTTTAAAAGTTTCACTTTCTAATGGACAAATAGAATTTATAAACATTTTTTTTCATTAATTTTTAAAAAACTTTAAATTTTATTAAAGCAATTGTAATTAAGAAATAGAAATGATGCAAATTGTTTCCTTATGAAAATTGAGAATTTCCTACAAAAATATTAAGAAACGAGATAATATGTTATGTTTTTTTTCCCTAAATAGAAGAATGATTTTGTGAACAATATTGTTTACAAAAAAAGATTTCTGCCATTTACAATTTAAGTCGAAAAGTTATTGAAAAATTTGAGAAAAGTCGATTAGTCGCATTTTTTCACAAAAAAGTCGAAAAAAGTCACATTTCCTTAGAAAAGTCGAAAAAAGTCGAAAAAGTCGCACAATCCGAGCCCTGTTAATCTCCTTAGCCCTTTCAAAAAAATTATTACTTAAATATGACATTTTCTTTAAAAAAATTGTTTTAAGCTTGCAATGTTAAATATAAAAATGTAACTTACATTAGACATACTGACGAACAAGTTGAATAAAATGTTATGTCAAATTACTTATCTATAATATTGAGTTATATTTATATTTTACATTGCAAGCTAAATTAATTAATTAATTCTAACGAAATGACTTTGAATTACGATTGCAAGCTTTTTTTACAAATTTTAAAAAAATTATAAAATTTAATTTGCTAAATAGTAAAGGTTTTTATCTTTAAAACTTGCTGCTACAAATCCCCATTCAGGTATGAAAAGGGACTCCACTAATCAAGTTATTAAATAAATAATAAAGAAGGAAATTTCAATTTATATACATTTAATATTTTCATAACTTTTACATATGTTTTACTCTAAATTGAACGAATTGCAACAAACTGTAATGAGTTCATTAATTTATTACAATAATACAGTAATACAGTAATACATAATATAAAATTTCAATAAACTCTATAATTGGAATTCCCTTTTACCTGGCGGACGACGCCTCGTCAAGCCGAGTGTCTGCTTTGCAATCTTAAAGAGTTTTTTTTCTCAAAAATGAAGATTAACGCCCAGCTAAAAATTGCAGGAAAGTTTTCTTATATTTTCAATATTATTCATGATTTTTTTAAACCTGAGAAATAGGGGCTATTTTTTAAAATGGTAAACAGGAATAGTAAATAAATGCATCGATAAGCGCGCGGCTAACTTCTTACTACCTTTTTTAAATAAAATTAGCAATTTTAAAAATAATAAAATTTGAAAATTTTCTAATTTAAATTTTTGTTGAAAATACTAAAAAAAATTCAGTTTTGTAAAATTTAAAAATAATTGCAAAAATTCTTTAAAAAAAATAAAATTCTTCTTATTAAATTCAACTATGTTCAAATCTTGAAAAAAATTCTCGTAAAAATCCCAATTATCTTTATAAATAACAAAATTCTTCTCCAAAGTTCAATTATTTTCAGAAATTTTTCTAATTTTAATGATTTTTAATATCTACGATTTTAATAAATAATTTCCTGAAACGAATTCAATTATTTAAAAAAAATTTTAATTTGAAATTTTAGAAAATGACAATTTTGAATGAATGAATTAAATTAATTTCAATAATATCAAAATTCAATTATTTTTAATATCTACTATTTCAATAAAAATTCACAAAAGAATTCAATTATTTAAAAAGAAATATATTATTAAAATTCATCGCAAGAATTAAAGTATTTTTCATAAATAATAAAATTCTTCTCAGGTATTCAATTATTTTCAATACAATTATTAAAAAATTCGATTGTATACAATAAATTAAAGAAATTTTTCAAAAAAATGCAATTATTTTTCGAAATTATTTTTCTTTGCAAGAATTCAATCATTTGCAAATGTTTTATAAATTTTTTTGAAATAATTCAATTATTTAACAAAAAAGTTAATAAAAATTCTTCATAAGAATTCAATTATTTTTGAAAATTTTAATAAAATTCGTTGCAAAAATTCAATTATTTTAAAAAAGTTTGATAAAATTCTTCGAATCAATTTAATTATTTTAAAAAATTTTGAAAAAATTCTCGTCAAAAATTTCAATTATTTTCAAAAATTATCCTCAATTCAATGATTTTTATAATATCTACTAAAATTTTTCAAAAGAATTTAACTTTAAAAAATTTTATTGAAATTCTGCGCAAACATTTAATTATATTCATAAAATAATTAAAATTTCACAAGGAATTCAATTATTTTCATAAATAATAAAATTTTTTAAGGAATTCAATTATTATTTTCATAAAAAATAATTTAAAATTCTAGAAAATAATAATTGAATTAAAATGATGAAAATAATTCTGATGAAGTTAGAGTAACAATATTTTTACGATAGAAAATAATGATTTTATCTCTCGGTCATCTTTAATTTATTAGAAAACATGAAGAAATCGATCACTCCGAGTCTTCGACTCGGAGCAATTGATATCTTCATGTTTTATAAACAATACTTTTATAAGTTGTTTAATTTAAAAAAGGTTTTTTAATTAATTAATTAATTAATTAATTAATGTTTTTTTAATGAAAAGAAGTAAAAAGAATTCTGATGATTTCTATTTTCTATTTAAAGTTAACAAAAAACAAAAGTATAAATGAAAGACAACTTCAGAGTGTGAGGGTGTAATGTATTAAAATTATGAATAATAATTTAATTAACTAACAATAAAATAATTTAAAGGAATGTTACACAGTACTAGCTGACACCTTTAAATCTGTTTGGTAGTGGATCCCCTCCTTCCTACTTATTGTTCAAGTAGTGAGGTGAGAATCTCTACTTTTCACTAGTGGAATTTTAGGAGATTAGAATGAGGTGTTAAATTAAGTTAAGATAATTATAAACAATTACAATTCATTATTCGTTCCTCTAAAACCCTAATACATATTTATTTATCCCTTTTTTATTCTCTTTTATATCTTTAACTTATAACTATAATATATTCGTGTTAATATGTATATATAATTCTAACACAATCTTTCGTCGGGTTAGCGCAATATCAGACTTATTCGACAAACAAAGCAAGAACATACTTATTCAGAAAAAAGGCAAGAACATGCTTATTCAAAATATAAAGTAAAATTCGCAAATTAACTAAAGTTAATTAAATAAAGTAATTCGCAAATTAACCTTTTTAGTCAGATTTTAAATTTTACTTTTGTACAATTGTTTTACGAATAATAACTTTTATTTAGTTCCATTGAGAATAATTTTTTTAATATTTTGTTTTTCTAATATGAAAAGTATTATTGAAATAAAATTATAATATTCTTGATAATTTAAAGTCTGACTAAAAAGGTTAATTTGCGAATTCGTTTGTTTTTACTTTATATTTTGAATAAGCATGTTCTTGCCTCTCTTCTGAATAAGTATGTTCTTGCCTTGTTTATCGAATAAGTATGATATTGCGCTAACCCGACGCTTTATTCTCCTCAAATGTATATTTGCGTGTGTGTGAAGTATTATTTAAGTGTATGTATACAATTGACTCACCCATTCGTTATTTGATATTATTCCTTTAAACTTCTTATAATCCTTTTCTATAATATTTATTTTAGATCAACTTTTTATAGCACAATTTCTCATTTAGAACTTTTATTATTTTTCACTTTTTATACTTAATTATTAATTATCAGTAATAAGAATGAGAACTTCTTTATATTCAAAATAACGGCCAAACTAACCCACGACTTACTATCGCGAAGACTCACGGGCAAAAGCCCAGATTTCCCTGTGTTCATCGATTTTATTAATCGACATTACAGTGTTGAAATTATTCTTTAGTTTATTGCACCTGCTCGTTGCCAGGCGCTTTTCTGCAAGCTTGCAGTTTTGGACAGTGGTGTGATCTTGGTTCATTAACCTGGACACACCACTTCTTAGATTTCACAATACATTAGTATTTTAAGTATCATTCTTTTAAATTAAGTTCATTCACTTTTCAAAGCAAATTTATAAATGTGTGAAATGTAATAAACAGCTATAAATGAGAATTATATTTTATGTATTTTAATTCTTGTAACCAATATTATAACGAATAGATGAATTATGTTTGTTTTATTATTATTTTTAATATGGGTATTTGTATTTTGTTCACACTTTCTTATAAACATTATATTTGTATTTTGTTATCACGAAGGGATAAATTGTGACGAAGTCGGTTCGTCACAGAGGGACAGAAAAAGTGAATGAAAGAATGAAAGAACATTCAAATTAATATAGTTAATAATTAATTTAGTTTAGAATAATTATTTTTATTTAAAAGTAAATAAAAATTTGTTTGTTATAATATAAGTTGAAACTTTTAAGGGGTTACATACGTTTTCAACTGCAAAAAAAGAGTGATTTTCATAATTATTTTTTGACTTTTCATTAAAACTTTATTAAAATAATATACATTGCATAAGATAGTACATGGTTTTATGAACTTTTAGCAATTTTGAAACCTAAAAAATATTAATATTTGTGTAAACTGTAGCCGATACTCCAAAAAAAATTTTTTTTTAAATCGGCTTGCGGTGTGCACGATAAAACGGGAACAAGTATTTTGAAAGCAAAACCAAAGAAAATTTTGTTAGTTTAGTATGTCACCTCGTTCGTTCATAAACAAGGTGATATAGTAAACTAACAAAATTTTCTTTGATTTTGATTTAAGATTGTTTGTTCCTGTTTTATCGTGCACACCGCAAGCCGCTTTAAAAAAAAGGTTTTTGGGGTATCAGCTACAGTTTACACAAATATTAATATTTTTTAAGTTTCCAAGTTGCTAAAAGTTCACTAAACCATGTACTATCTGATGCAATGAACATTATTTAAATAAAGTTTTAATGAAAAGTCTAAAAATAATTATGAAAATCACTCATTTTTTGCTGTCAAAAAGGTATGTAACCCCTTAATGTAAATCTAAAAAGAATAAAAAATATTTTCCGATGATGCTTAAAAATTTTTGATAAAAGTATTCAATTATATATTGAACGTGAGTTTTTGACAACAGCCATTTAATGAGTCGATGTAATCTAAGGATGGCAAGAGCACATAAAAAAGTACCGTTGTTAGAAATCCAGTTTGTTCTTTCTGTAGAGGTTTTATTATTATTTTAGAGTGTCGCATAATTGCTGGATCTTCTCGCAGAGAAGTGTGTAGCATTATCAGCCAATGAGCAGCAACGTAAAAGGTCCTCGAACCAAGAAGAAGTAAATACCGTAAAGTGTAACATAAAGCCACATACATGTATAAGTTGTGTGCGAGGAAAGGGGCAACATATTCGCGGTCATCGCTCCTGTCCACCGTAGAAAATGTATAAAAGGAACGGAGATCAGAGATCCTAAACACAGATCGTCTTCAACAAATAATGAGAAAGATTGTCGTTCTTCTTTCTGCCCTGGCACTAGTCAGGGCACAAATTCCAAACATGGGCTGGTGTCCAGAATATATACCGATGACAAATTTTGACATGTCAAAGGTAATCTTATTTTTATTATCAAAGTTTTTTTTAGATTTATGTCACTAAAATACCATTTTTGTAATAAAACAGTTTTTTACTAAAAAAAAAAAAAATTTATTAAGATTAAAATATTTCTATTACTATTTCCTTTTCTCATTAAATCAAGGAAAATATTAAATAAATATAAAATGTAATTAAAAAAAGGAATTTTGAAAATTGATGATTGTTTGCAATGTTTCAGTTCTTGGGGATCTGGTATGAAGCAGAAAGGTATTTTCAATTATATCAACTTGGTTCCCGTTGTGTAAGGACAAACTATACAATAGGGCCTGATGGAAAATATCATGTTAGCAACGAAATCACTAATTTTGCGTGAGTAAATTATATCTAATTTTTAAAAATCAATTAGAATTCTATTAGAAAAGTAACGAACTAAAAAGTCAATAACAATCTTACAAAATTTTAAATAATCATTTAGAGATATTGTACTGATTTTTACAACATTAAAAAAAATTTTAATATATTGCTGTCTTAAAATAAGATTTTCTTTTTACTGTGAAAAATAGAATTTTTTGCAGTATATTGTAATTTAAAAATACTTCTGAAATAATAAATGAATTTTAATTTTATTTTAAATATTTTTGTAATAGCAATAAGAATTGATATTTTTCATGAGCATTAGCTTATAATTATTTACTTGAAAAATCTAAGTTGTAAAAGATAAAATTAGTTTTCAAGAAACAAGCAGTGTTAAAAGTTTCGTTTATATTTTTAATACCTTTTTTTAGAACAAATAAATATATCGGTAATAATTTTTTAAATACTTTTACTAGTCCTTCTTACTAAAAAAACAATCACATCGCAACGCTTGTAAAAATACCTATAAATTAGAAAATAATCATTAAATTAAAATATAAAAGTAATAAAAAAATATTAGTAATGCAATATTAAATAATATTACTTTAAATGAAAGTTATAATATCTTTTCAAAAAATCAAAAAATTTAATACTTTTTTGAAAAAGTCATGATTACAAAAGGTACCAATTCTTAAAAGCCTTATTAAAAGGCTTTATATTTATAAAGGTTAATCAGAGATGTTAGAAATGGGTCTCAAAAACTATTTAAAATGCTAAATACTAAATGGTATTACAAAAAGTATTTCAAATATATAATATAAAATAGTTTTCAAAAAGTTATTTCAAATGCAAAATAGAAAATACGCATTTTCAAAATGGTTTTATAAAATAAAATGCTTTTTTTAAATGAAAATTATTTTTACGTAACTTTTTGACTTTTCCATAAAATAAGATTGTATCCCTTATGAAACTGTTTTATATTATTCTATTAATTTGACTTTATACAATAAAGTACTTTTTTAAAAAAATTGTAAGAAAACTTTGTCAGCAATTAAATAAAATATCTCATTTTCGAATGCTTGATGTGAAATCCTATGTAAATATTGAAATTTTGAACCTGAAAATTTCCGTTTTTAGTATGTAAAAATGAATATTTTCCCATAAAGTTTGGTAAAATTTAAAAGAAAATGAATTAGCCGAAGAATCTACTTAAAAGAAAAAATTGCTACAATATAAAAAAAATTTTCTTGTATTTTGCATTTTCAAATACAAAATAATGAAAAAAACCATTTCAAATCAAAATGCAAAATGGTTTTCGGCAAATGCATTCAAAATGTAAAATGAAAATAGGCATTTTGCATTTTCTATTTTGCATTTGAAATAGATTTATTTGAAATAGTTAACATCTCTGAAGGTTATAATTATAAATATTTACAAATTATTATAAATAAATTATCAATTTTCTGAAATAGTACTGTTTTCCACTAACCCTACGATATTTTTTTACATGTATGAGTGTAAATAAATAGTTTAAAAATAGAATTTCAAGTTGAGTTAACAATACAGTTACTGCTAAAATTTTTGAACAAAATGTTGATTTTGATTATGGATTTAAGATAATCTAGTAATCTACAATTTTTTTAAAATTTATCAATAACCACTCAAAATTATTAAGCTTCCGAATATTGTTTGGTTTACTCTATATTGAAAAGAATTTAAAGTCGAAAAATAAAAATTTTAACCCCAGAACGGAAATATGATTTTTTATACGCTAACGGAAAACAAAATTTGAAACATTTGTAAAAAGTTTCGGTTTTACTGAATACTACTTTTATATATGTAGTAGAATTTTTTCGTTTTTCAATACGGAAGATGAAGGCATCATACATTTTTTAGTAAAGATAGAGAACTTTTGAAAATGTTGGCTGATTCTATCTCAATTCATGCAGGGCGAATAGGTTAAAAATTCTAAATCAAGTTAATGGTAATTTTTCTTGTTCTTTAGGACAAATAAAGAGATCACGTATTTTTTTATTTAGCGAAAAAAAAATTTTTAGCTGAGTTCCCAGTAAGAAGTGAGGAATTAATAAGAATTCGAAATTTGTAATTCTTTTGAATTTCGTTTTTGACCAATTCTTTTCATTTGCATTTGGAGAAACCGAAAAGAAACTAAGTTTATTCTTTTGAATATTTTAATAATAAAATTTTAATATTTTAAAATTAAATTTAATAATTTAATATTTTAATACTTTTAATATTTTAAGCGGAAAAAAAATTTGTCGGTTCAAAGATTTGAACCCTTAAAAGTTTCATTGTCGGAGACAAACAGCTTGTCCGCTCAGCTATTTAAACTGTACTATGACTACCGAATTTTAGAAGCACTTATCTCAAAGTGTTGCAAACTTCAAAGGAATTAAAAAATTACAAAATATTAAAACGGTATAGACAGGAATTGAACTTACCGAGTATTACACAGTATTTAGGAATTCACAAAAATTAAAAAATTAAAGAAATATTAAAACGGAATTGATTGGAATTCACTTTCAAGAAATCTTTGCGTTAAAAAGGAATACATAGGAATTGGACAGAAACGGAATTCAAAAAAATTGATAATATAACATTTTCTGTAAAAAGTTAAAAATGTTCAATTTTTCTCAATTCCTTACTTCTTACTGGGTTATGAGTGTTTGAAAATTTTAAGACATATCGTGATTTTAGAGCTAAACAGCTGACAAATTATTTTCAAATCTTTCTAGTTTTTGCAAAAATAAATATTTTAAAATTTTTTTTCTTGATTTTAGTAGTGTTTTTGATACTTTTTCTTTGCAAACTTGAAAATTTGAAAAATTTTGAAAATTAACAAAATGGCGGCCATTTACCGAAAAAACAAAAAAGTCAATTTTCTCAAAAACATCATTTTTTATTTTTCTTAAAATTTTTGTGTGATTAATAGATAAAAAAAGGAATTAATTTTAAAAGGTTTCATGTCCGCTAAAACTGTTTGGAAGTCGCAATAATTTTTTTCAGAAAATAACAAATCTCATTATTTTGAGTAATGTATCGGCATATATATATTTTGCATGTTTATGTTTTTCGATGATTAGTAGTGTTTTTGGTACTTACTTTTTATTTGCAAACTTGAAAATTTTAAAAATTAACAATATGGCGGCCATTTTTCAAAAAATCGAAAACTAAAAATACTAAAAATAATTGAATAAAAATATTCATTTGGAGGTTTTTGGGGTCGCTGAGTTAGAATATTTGGTTCAAATTTTATAATTTAAAATGGCGACCAAAAAAATTTATCGGTCGCCATTTTGTTAATTTAAAAAATTTTTAAGTTTGCAAATAAAAAGTACCAAAAACACTACTAATCATCGAAAAACATAAACATGCAATAAATATATATATTTTGATACATTTATACTCGTATCAACTCTCTAAAACTGAATCAGTGAAATTTGACTGAGAATCACTGACTCTATTGTCTATTCTCGCGATTTGAATTTGAATTTCTGTCATTTTTCACTGATTGGCCAATTAAAGAATAACTGAAATTTTCAATATGTGTGACAAAAATTTTCAGTAGTTTATTAATTGGCGAATCAGTTAAAAATAACTGAAATTTCAGTAATTAACTGAAATTTTAATTATTTTTAACTGATTTTCAGTGAAATTCCACTGATTCAAATCGCGAGAATAGAGTCACTGATTCTCAGTCAAATTTCACTGCTTTTCAGTGGAATTTCACTGATTCAGATTTAGAGAGAAAATAATGAGATTTGTTATTTTCTGAAAAAAATTATTGCGACTTCCAAACAGTTTTAGCGGACATGAAACCTTTTAAAATTAATTCCTTTTTTCATCTAGTAATCAGACAAAAATTTTAAGAACAATAAAAAATGATCTTTTTGAGAAAATTGACTTTTTTGATTTTTCGGTAAATGGCCGCCATTTTGTTAATTTTCAAAATTTTTCAAATTTTCAAGTTTGCAAAGAAAAAGTATCAAAAACACTACTAAAATCAAGAAAAAAAATTGAAAAATATTTATTTTTGCAAAAACTAGAAAGATTTGAAAATAATTTGTCAGCTGTTTAGCTCTAAAATCACGATATGTCTTAAAATTTTCAAACACTCATAACTCGGCTAAAAAAATTTTTTCGCTAAATAAAAAAATACGTGTCTCTTTATTTGTCCTAAAGAACAAGAAAAATTACCTTTAACTTGATTTCGAATTTTTAACCTATTCGCCCTACATGAATTGAGATAGAATCAGCCTGTTGTTAAAACAAAAGGGAACAGAGAAAATTGAAAAATTTCGCAAAATGTATGTAGTCAATTTAAAAAAATCAAGGGGATTTTAAAAGGTAAATACAGACACTTTAGAAGTGAAATATTATAACTTTTGCATTATTTGAAAATAATAGATTTTTCAAAAAAAATGAAGCAACGAAAATTAAAGAAAATTGACGCACTAATCACATCAAGAAACATAAAAAAATGAACTTTTAATTTTAAAAACTAATTTGATTACATTAAATTTTTAAATAAATATTACAACACGATAGAGAAAATTCGAAAGAACTCTTTTACTTGTGCATTAACCCACATAGCACAATAGTATGAGGTAAGGTTATGTTGAGTACTAATCGCAAGGCTCATAAGGTTACACGATATTGCTGTGGTAGATCTGAGGTGAACTAAAAACTTCCGCCATGAGGTAAGGTTACATGTTAAGGTTGAGGTAAGGTTACATGTTAAGGTTGAGGTAACGTTACATGTTAAGGTTGAGGTAAGGTTACATGTCAAGGCTGAGGTAAGGTAATTATTAAGTTGTAAGGTTGTGATAAGTTTACCAGTTATAGAAAATATTGAAAAAATAATTAATAAATAAATATTCAATTAAAATGTTAAGTTTGTTGCTCTTCTCTATTTTGGAAACCTGACATGAAGCAGAAAATTTTGAAAACAAATTTGGGGGGACTGGGATTCGAACCCGGGATCGGCGCGCATAAACCTATCATTCTGACTAACTGAGCTAAGTAGAGAACTGGCAGAAGGAAAATTAATGTTGCCTTTAAGGTGAACCAAGAAGATGATTAACTCCTTAAAGGCAACATTAATTTTCCTTCTGCCAGTTCTCTACTTAGCTCAGTTAGTTAGAATGATAGGTTTATGCGCGTCGATCTCGGGTTCGAATCCCAGTCCCCCTAAATTTGTTTTCAAAATTTTCTGCTTCATGTCAGGTTTCCAAAATAGAGAAGAGCAACAAACTTAACATTTTAATTGAATATTTATTTATTAATTATTTTTTCAATATTTTCTTTAACTGGTAAACTTATCACAACCTTACCTCAACCTTACAACTTAATAATTACCTTACCTCAGCCTTGACATGTAACCTTACCTCAACCTTAACATGTAACGTTACCTCAACCTTAACATGTAACCTTACCTCAACCTTAACATGTAACGTTACCTCAACCTTAACGTGTAAGGTTACCATGGCCTTATCATATATAGTCACCACACCCTAACATGTAACCTCACCTCCATGGCGGAAGTTTTTAGTTCACCTTAGGTCTACCACAGCAATATCGTGTAACCTTATGTGCCTTACGATTAGTATTCAACATAACCTTACCTCATACTATTGTGCTATGTGGGAAGCTAATAATAAAAAATGTATTTTTGCGGTTATATTATTTGTACTATCTGGGTACATTTAAAGTTTGCATAGAAGTCTTTTATGGTTTCTTAATGAGATTTTTTAGAAACAACGAAATTACTAGATACAAATTTATAGTTAGGAATAAAATTAAACAATTTTAAATTTAAAAAAATTAAAAACACTAATTTCTCAAATTGAAGCAATGTTCAAGCAAAAGTATGATTATTCTTTGTAATAGAAAGATTATCATAATTAATGATTATTATCTTTCTAGAACTGGAATAAAAAGAGTTTGGGACGGTGAAATTAAACCACCAACAAATAAGGTTGAGGAAGGAAAATTGCATGTGAAGTACGTTGGATTGCCATTATCACCTGAATATAAGTATTCGGTTTTAGATACTGATTATGATAGTTACGCTGTTTTATGGAATTGTTATAACTTTGGGCTTATAAATGGTCAAAGTGCATGGATTATGACTCGAGAGCCATTTGCATCAGGAGAAATTCTTCAAAAGGTAATAATTCTTCATTTTTTAAAATTTATTTAAAATTTTTTCTTTCGATATTCATTTTTAAAAAACTGATCAGATATTAGTCAATAAACCTAATATTCTGTAAAGCTATAAATTTATAAACCTAACTTGAGTTAAAGCCTAATTCTGCCATATTTTAAACGGTTCATATTATTTTAATAGTTAATATTTAATTAATATACGTATATAATAATCATTTTTAATAATAGAATTAGATTTTTAACATTCTTGTGTACTTTATGCTTTCAGGCGTATGCTATTCTTGACAAATATAAAATCTCCAAATCATTTTTCGTGAAGACAAGACAGGATGATTGTAATTATATTGCAAACCCTGCTGTTAAACCCATACAACAAGAACAACCTTCTAAGGATGATGTTCAAGATACAGAGAAAGAACCTGTGAATGATAGTTCATCTGCTAACACGAGAAACATTGAAAAAGTTGAAACTGACACTACTAAACATGAAGATTCGTCTAAACAACCTATTGAAATTAAAAAATCTGAAAGTGTAGAAGAAAAAGTTGAACCTGCACCAATCACAAAATGAATCACTGATTAACAAATAATTGCCCAAAGACATACTTAAGAATCATGAAAATATCTCTAAGGCTGAAATTTTTTTCTTTCATTGCGGAAAGAAAAATTGCTTTACAATTCATCTATCAATTGATAAATAATGGTTCATCTCTAAATTACTTTTACAAGTTAATATTTATTTATACGCTATAAGATTATTTTCTAGGAAACACTATAAATAATGTGCAGAAGATGTAAGCAGTAAAAAAGTTAATAAAGATATTACATAAATCTTAATTGAAATAAATTTAATCAATTTTCCAAATAGCAAAATAATTGGCAACAATTATTTACAGTGAAAGATTCGACAATTTTTCTGTCTAATAGTAAAATTTCATACTGTTTATACAGTTAACAATGCGTTGCCTAAACTTTGTAATTAAAATATGATTTTTTAAATTTAGGAAGTGTGCGCTTTAAGGGTTAAATATAAAGCAGTAAATTTTATAAAAAATAATTTTTTTTCACCTTATAACGTTCTTATTATCTTTAACTGATTTTAAATATTTATTTTAAGAATTTTTAAACATTTAAGAGTTTACTTTGGAATTTACAATCCATTTTTAACTTTCATTTAACCAAATTGTCAATAAGGTCAGTCGACCAATGATAAGAGGTTTGGACTGTATTTTTAAAATTTTTATTTAATTGAAATAACTATACTGTTTCGATTAACCCCTTGACTAAATGAGTCACTAGCCTGTGAAAAATGATGCGTGGAAAATCGGAACCCTAATATTAAATTTGTAATTCTAAGTTTTTATGGAATGGTTATTATCATTTATTGAAAAATGAAAAAATTCGAGAACGCAAAAAAGAAAAAATCTTTAGAAACGACTTTTTTAAAATCAGTTAATTACAAACCACATTACGCGTCATATTCATACTACATTTCTTTGTTAATGGACAAGTGATATCAATGAAATGAGGTCGCGTGCGAGAAGAAGCACATATTTATACGTCGCTACATTTATTTGTAATATACATTAATGAATATTATAACACAAATAACTTCATCATAGCTTAATAACAATACTTTGAAGTTTTTCAAAAAAAATTACACTATATTAACCATTTAAACATTAGAAACAAATTTTGCAATAAAGAATTATAGAAAAAACTATTTCTATAATTATTAATTTTAAATATTTGTAAATATTGTAAATCTCGCGATTTTTCTAGTAGCACTCAAAAATAAATTTTTAAGAAACTTCAAGAAGCTTAATCTGTAATATTTGTCGAAGAACCGTTAGGAAACTGTATAAAAATAAGATTTGTCTGGAAGTTTCGTCTTTATTAATTACACCTACTTATTTATTTTATTAAACAGAATTTAACAAAATATTTCGGATAATGGTTGCATTAAAAAAATTCACAACCCATTCTGGTATTTTCTGTCTGTCACAATGCGTCGTGGACATTTTGGCTCATGCCACAACACGAATTTCGCTTTATTACCAAATTGAAGGAGCCAGTACGCGTTATGGTCAGTTTTTTGCTTAATGAGCGTTTAGAGCCTAACATATATTATATAAATTATTACAGGGTGGCCACCGGACCTTGCAACCTTGAAAACCTTGAAATGGACGTGAATTTTGTCAAACCTTGAAAAAACCGTGAATTTTTTTTAAAAACCTTGAATTTTAGTATTATATATTATTGAAACTAAAAAAAAAATTTTTTTTGACCATTTTTAAAATTTTATTTTTTGAAAAAATTAAAATTTTTCAGGGTCGCCACAGGTCAGGGAATTCAGGGAAAAGTCAGGGATTTTTAGTAAAAGTACTGGAAAAAATTGAATTTTGGAGAAGTTACAAATGATTGCAGAAATTCAATTATTTTCAAAAGTAATAAAATTCTTCGCAGAAATTCAATTATGTTCGAAAATTAAAAAAAATTCTCATAAAAATTCAATTACCTTTAAAAATAATAAAATTCTTCTCTAAATTTCAATTATTTTCAACAATTTTAATAAAAAAAATTCAAAATTCAAAATTAATTAGAGAGCGTTCACAAATGATGTCACGCAATTTTAGGAGATTTTCCACCCCCCCCCCCTGTCACGCAATTTTTGCAATTTCACATGAGAAAAATACATTGTGTCACGTTTAGTAGAGACCCCCCCCCTACCCCCAAAAGCGTGACATCATTTGTGAACGTTCCCTTAATTATTATTATTAAATTTTCAAAATTTCAATTATTTTCAAAATAATTTTCTCAATTCAATGATTTTCAATATCTACAGTTTTAATAAAATTTTTCAAAAAAATTCAATTATTTAAGAAAAAATTTGATAAAATTCTAAGCAAACTTCGCAATAATTCAATTATTATCTTCATAAATAATAACATTTTTTACAAAAATTTTAATTATTTTCATAAATAATAAAATTCATCATAAAATTTCAATTTTTTTAAATACAATTTCAATTGAATTCCTCGAAAAATTTTATTATTCTTGAAAATTTTATTAAAATTTCTCGACAAAAATCAAATTTGTTGATAAAATTCTGTATGTTAATTTAGTTTCGAAAAACATTCATTTATTCAATGAATTATTTATTTTTGTATTTAAATAATTGAATTCTTGTAGAATTTTCCAATAAAAATTGATTTTAAAATGAATATTAGTTTAAATTTTAGATAATAATTGAATATTAAAAGCATTATAGCATGAATTTTTAAAAATACATAATTGAATTCTTTCGAAGAATTTTAACAAAATTTTTGAAAATAGTGACATTTTTCGAAGAATTTACTTAAAATTGTATTAAAAATAATTGAAATCCTGTGAAGAATTTTATTAATTTATAAATGTAATTGAATTCTTGCAATTAATTTTTTCAAATTTTTTTTTAAATAATTGAAATAACCCAATGGGAAATTTACAACTGGCGTAGTACTGCGCCAGCACTGGCAGCACTGGCGGCAAGGCTGAGAGCCAGCAATGGCATGGCACTGGGATGATAACGCCGTCCGGCGCTGCCGAAGTACTGTCTGTCAGTGCTGCCAGACAGCGCTGGCGCAGCACTGGACCAGTGCTGGCTGAGAATATTGCCGCAATAAATGCCGTATTGTTATTAATTAGTCGTAAATTCATAATTATAAATAATTTAACAACAAAATGGTAAATAATATTAATAAATAGTTATTATTCATAAAATATTTCTCTTCTTAAAGAAATTGTATTAAAGATGGAGACTAACAATGGATATAGTAAATTAAGTAGAAAAAAATTGTTTATAACATTTAAAAATTAAATAATAAACAATTACAGTAAGTGTGCATTAGATTTTCATATTTTAGTACCTAACGATTGGAATCTAGAAATATCGCAAACCTATGAAAATAAACAAAATTGCTGACGAGGGGAATCGAACCTACGACCTACGGACTAACAGACTAACGCTCTAACCACTATGCTAACGACACATGTGTACAGTAAAGTATTAATATCTCAGTATCATTCAGACATACAATTATTGAGTCAAAGATGAGAAAAAAATAGGGATACGTTAGAAATAATAAATTGAAATAAAATAAATTGAACTAAATTTTTAATAATTAAATTACTTTACTTATTGCATTTAACATTTTACGTAATTCTTAAATTACGTGGTAATTTTTTAATAATTTTTTATTCATAGTAAGAAGTATAATAGTATTTTAATAGGAACCAAATTATTATTGAGATTAAAGTTTAAATTTTGTTTATAATTTTAATTTGTTTAAATAATTTATTATTTACAAAATTAGACAATTGTGTTAAATTGTTATTATTAAATAAATTATTAAATAATTTATTATTTACAAAATTAGACAATTGTGTTAAATTGTTATTATTAAATTTATTAAGAATAAAAAATGAACAACTGAAAAGTAAAATATTAATTTTTTTCAATAAATTTATATTTATAAACATTTATAAACTTTTTTTATAATTTTTTTCAAGTTTATGTCAAAAAAGCAATGTTGGCAAAGAGCGTCGTGAACAATTTTTCTATACTCAGCCAGCACTTACCGCCGTGGCTTGTCCAAGCTCTGGCGAAACAAAAATTCTGTACTGCGCCAGCACTAATTGTCGAGGCTCGGCTAGACTACGCCGAACAATCGTCTGAGTACTAAGCCAGTGGTGAACATCGGCACTACACTGGCATTTCCCATTGGGAATGTAAAGAATCTTATTATTTGAGGCTCCGGATCTTAAAAGGGCACACGCGCGAACACACGGCAAATAATTTGGCCCCTGGAGATAAAATTTTGAAGTTGTTCAAAATGAATTTTAAATTATTGTTTCTTATACAGAATTTCAAGGCGAAACTTTTTTTCTAATAAAAATTTTTTATATAATTTCTCGTTTTCACGTAAATTGAAAAAAACGTGATTTTTTGAGTTAAGAAATTTTAATGAATTTTTGACTTCAACTCGTGACTACTTCGTTAAATATTAATATTTTTCCACGAAATTTACACACAATATTCTTCAAACTATTCCAAGAGTGAAACAATATTTGGAAATTTAAAAAAAAATTGTATGTCAAAGTAAATAATTATTTAAATAATTTTGTCGGAAAAATGATTCTCCTATTTTTAATTGAAAAAGTTGAGTGACGAATTTTCATTTTCGGAAAACTTTCAGCGACAAAAATGTTCATTAATATGTTAGGAAGTTTTTTGGAAAATATCTCGCCATTTGATAATAAATTAAAGACAATAGAGCAATTTTAACATCGTCGCGCTCTGCTGTAAACGTAAACAATGTCTAACTATATATACATTGGTCTTGTAATGGCGGCCATGCTACACGTGTGCCGCCACGCCGCAATTTTACAGCAGAGCGCGACGATGTTAAAATTGCTCTATTGTCTTTAATTTATTATCAAATAGCGAGATATTTTCCAAAAAACTTCCTAACATATTAATGAACATTTTTGTCGCTGAAAGTTTTCCGAAAACGAAAATTCGTCACTCAACTTTTTCAATTAAAAATAGGAGAATCATTTTTCCGACAAAATTATTTAAATAATTATTTACTTTGACATACAATTTTTTTTTAAATTTCCAAATATTGTTTCACTCTTGGAATAGTTTAAAGAATATTGTGTGTAAATTTCGTGGAAAAATATTAATATTTAACGAAGTAGTCACGAGTTGAAGTCAAAAATTCATTAAAATTTCTTAACTCAAAAAATCACGTTTTTTTCAATTTACGTGAAAACGAGAAATTATATAAAAAATTTTTATTAGAAAAAAAGTTTCGCCTTGAAATTCTGTATAAGAAACAATAATTTAAAATTCATTTTGAACAACTTCAAAATTTTATCTCCAGGGGCCAAATTATTTGCCGTGTGTTCGCGCGTGTGCCCTTTTAAGATCCGGAGCCTCAATTTGAAATCCGTTTATGTTCAAATAAATGAATAAATAAATAAATAAATAAAAATAATTGAAACCATGTGAAGAATTTTATTATTTATGAAAATAATTGAATTCTTCCAACGAATTTTATTATAATTTTTGTAAATAATTTAATTTTTTGTTTTCAAAAATTTTATGGAAATTAAAATTTTTATAAGTTGTTGAATTTTAACATGTTTGGATTTGAATGTTTTGAAGAATTTTAATTCCTATGAAAAAATACCCAGTGGGCACAAAGACAAAAAACGTTCTTTAAACGTCTGTAGAACGTTTAATGTCTGCCAATTTATGTTTTAAGAACATCCGAATGTTCCGAAACATTTTTGGAAGAGTCGGACGTTCTTAAAACATAAATTGGCAGACATTAAACGTTCTACAGACGTTTAAAGAACGTTTTTTGTCTTTGTGCCCACTGGGTAATAATTAAATACTTATTTAAAAATTTAGTTATTGATGTTTCGAATAATTTTACAATTTAAGAAATTCGTAAGTAAATGTAATAGAATGTTTTTAATAATTTTTAGAGTGAATCAGAATATTCTTTATGGTCAGGGAAAAGTGAAAGTTTTGTCTGGAAATCAGGGAAAAGTCAGGGAAAAATAAAATTAAATATTTGTGGCAACCCTGAATTTTTTAAAATCTATACGATTGATTGTTCAGAATCCTAAGAAAAGCCTATAAAAAATTCGGCAATAAAAAATATTAAAAAATGTGGAAGTAGTTGAATTTTTTAAGTATTACTGTAGTAAAATTTGAACCAACAAAAAAACCTTGAAATTTTCTTAGAAACCTTGAAAAAACCGGGAAATAGACGTGAATTTCATTCACGAGTTTTGGTGGCCACCCTGTATTATCTTTCTTCATTTGTCAACTTGGTCATTTTGTCACTTGTGCTGAATTGGGATGCGTTAATTTCGTTCTATAATAAGAGTAAACATTGAAAAAATAGTTTTGCACAATTTCTACTTAACGCTTATAATAAATTAAAAATATGATAGCAGCTATTTTGGGACCTTATCTTATTCCATTACTTATAGGATGGTTTATAGGCTTTTGTGCTTGTATTGGATATCATTGGATGAAAAGTACCTTCAGTGATGATTCAAAAAAAAAAATTAAACAAGAATAATCTGTTACTTTATGAAGTACATAGTATGCAAATAAATATAATTAAAAATTATTTTTTTAAGGTATTTGTCGCGATTTGTTTTTTTGATTTGTTGAACTAAAATGAAATAAACGTTTGTTAAATACTACTGCTCGTCTGCTAGTAGTAAAATTATAAATTTTTGGTAAAGAAACAAAACGGCAGTATATTGCATATTTAAGTCCGAAATCTTTTTTCATTTATTTCGATATATGAGAGGTATTATTTAAAAGTTTTTAAATATTTCAATTTGATATATGAAATAAAAAATTTTGTATAAATTTAATATATGTCAAGGAAGTAGACTGTCCCATTAAGGAAAGTTTACAAATTAAAAAAATCTAATACAAGTAATATAAAATGACAACTTTTACGCATGACTCAATTTTAACAAAAAAAATTTTTTTAACTTTAGTTACATCATACAACTTTTAAATATCTGTAATCATTCTCTTTATTATTATATCCTGTTGATGTCTATGAAGAACTTGGGGAAGATTTTTTTATCAATTTAAATATTGCTGTGTAGATACTGCAAATTATGAAACCTCCTATAAACCCAATAAAACCTACTATATATTCCAAATCCATTACTACTTTTGTTTTACCTTGTGTATTTGTTAAAAATATGTAAATAATTATTTATCTTATGTTTACTCTTATTAATATGCAAAAGAGGATATATATTATTTTGCTTGTCAATAAAGCTCGCTTGGTTGTGACGGTAGATATTATTTTTGCATTATTTTTCCTGTAATCTACGCGTAAAAATACATAAGTTTGCAAATTTCCTTTAATCTACTAGTGGAAATACATAAGTATGCGAATTTTTAGCATTCTATATAGAAAAAACTGTGAGTGCTGGGGGATACATGCTTATAACCGTTTTGATAGGATTCCTACCTGGTATAGAGGCATATTAACATGCTTGTAATAATAGGGAGAGTAATTACAACACAGTTCAGCATAATTTAAAACTAATACATAAGCAGGGGTGGCCAGATTAATTAGTCGCTACTTAAAGTGAATTGTTTTTTATTTCAATGAAATTTCTTCATAATGCATACAATTATTAACTGAAGTTGATTAGTTCACATCCCCTTCATAGTTTTCTGAAATCAACATAATATTTATAGTTAAGAAAATTCAACATATTTTCTTTATTACAATTTATATTGTTTTTACAATTACATTTATATTTACAATTACTTTAATTTTTATTCAATTCCTCTTAAGTTAAATTGATTAAAATTAAATAAAAACTGCAACTCCAATGATATTTTTACCTGCTTTTAAATTGTTTCTGCTTTTCATTAATGCATTTTTAATTACAAGTAAGCAGTTGCTTTTTGAAAAATTTTTCGGCAATCCTGCTCTATCCTTTACAAATTCTATAAAAAAGCAAATTTTATATTTTCTTTAAAAAACAGAGTATTAAAAGATGCTGAAATTGTAAACAATTTGCTACAAATTTTTTCTTTTGAAAAATCTAACATATAATGCCCTATTTATCTGTAAAAGACATTTTCAAGATAAATACATGGGATGAGTATTTTATTGGTTGTAGATATTTGAAAAAAATTTCTCCTTAGAATCGCACATTTACTATTTTTGCATTCTAGCAAGAAATCGCTTAAAAAAGATCGAAAAAACCAGAATCTCGTCAAAAATACATGGTAAACAAATGAATATCTAAGTACTGTCATGTTTCTTGTGTGAAAGGAGAGATCCTCGAATGCAAAACTATTACAGTTCAAATAGATGCGTGTAAGGAGAATCGGTTGTGAATACCTCTCTCAATAAATTAAATCAAATATTCAATTTCCCAATTGTCAAATTATTTTATTTCGTTGTTTTAATCAAAAGTTTGTTGCAGATTTTGCTGTTATTGAAGCCTACTGTTACAGAAGAACGGCTCATATTTAGGGTCAGTTTTATTAATACCGATTAAAAGTTAATCAATCATTAAATCCTCAATCAACCAATCATAAGCCGTTATACTGCTTTTAATCATTGATTAACTTTTAATTGAGTTTGGTGGAATTAACCCTTAATTTGTTAACAATAATTATTTTTAAATAATTATAACTAATAATATTCTTATCCTATGTATTTTATGTTTAAAAAAGGGTTTTCCAAATGAAGATAATATTTTAGTTTTGTTAACGAAAGGTTGTTGCAAATTTTTTAATAATTTAGCTCTACATTGTAGATAAATAGAAGGCTAGACACGAATAACGGTTTATAAATTTAATTAGAAAAATGTAAATTTTTTCTGTGTAACTCACTGTAGATAGCATTACAGACATTTTTTGGTACTGGTTCAAATAGACCTGAACCATTGAGAGAAAAGAATTTCATATTCTCTTCACCAAGTAAATTTGCCAATAACTCTCGAATCAGAGGAGCTAAAGTAATATTAGAATCTTCATTCAACTTTTTGAATTCCTTTTTCTTTATCCAAACCTCAGACTCAGGCACTAATTCAATCTATAAGTTATAAATATTTTAAAATACTCATACAATAAGTGTATCGAATTATAACTATATAATTAATAATTGACAGTCACATTATTGCTATCTAGTGAATCATAAAAATTAAAACTTCGTTGTATTGATAATTTTCTTTATTATGATAGACTAACTTTCAATTCGTTTATTATTAATTACCTATTTTTTACCATCATTTTCCTTCATCTTTTTAAATCAATACAACAGATAAAGAAAAAAACAAAATAGAAGACAAAAGAAGATAGAAGTTACTGGATTGTTATTAGATCATCATTCATAATTATATTTTTATTTACAGAATTTTATGAAATAATTATCCATTAGAATAGTGAAAGAGAAAGTAGTTACCTTCCCTTTTTTCTCTTGATAAGGGAATCTTTTTGGTTTCTGCAAAAGTTTAACAAATATTTATTTCTTAAGAACATTTGAAATAAATGATTTTAAAAATAATGCAGTACTTTAAATTTACAAATATTATTTAAATCCTTATTGCCATGTACCTCAGATATGTATTTTTCAATGTCAAATTGTTTTTTCGACCGTAGAATAATATCTAAACATTTATGTCTTTGAGATTATAATTATAAATCTTCGATGTATTGCAAATATATTGACAGTAAAATATTTCAAAATTATTATTATTTAGACTAATTTTGTAAACATTTCTTTTTTAATCAAGATACGCAACAGTACTTTTGTGATAAATTTTGTTGAAAAACATAAGATTTATGGGCAAAATACAAATATAGGAATCAGATTTTCTTTTACCTGTTTTAGATGTACGACGGAGATTATCAATGAATTGTCCTACTAGTGCATCGCTTTTTTTTATATCCATTTTATGACTTGCTTCAACATTTTCATTCACATATGCTGCAAATAGAAATGTTATAATTATGTTATGTGTATCAAGGTAGAAAAATAGGCGCTGAATTGGAAACTCATTGCATCTGACCCATATCATTTTACATCAAGTCAACATATTCCTGAATTTTAAACTCATTGCACTGACCCCTATCATATTAAATCGAAAAAGTGAAAATGTCATTTCGATTTTTTCTGAATTTTTAAAAAATATGATAGTTATTTTAATGGACTGACATTTTCATTTTTCACCACTTCTGGTACCCTACTCTAATTTATCTTTGTGTTAACATACAATTGAAGAATTAGTTTCACAATTCTATAATTAAAATAATGATTTTTTTAATGTGAAACTTACCCATGATAGCACTTTTAACTTCGCTAGGTATTTGCTCATATTTTCTACTCTCCTTATACCATGTAAAAATGGATAAATTCTCTAAACCAAATAAATTTTTCAACAAAAATTTTATTAACTCTAATGGATTGTTTTTATAAATAGTTGTGTATTTTTTAAGTTTTTTCTCATCAATCCAAATGTTTGATCCTTTTGTTAATTCCACCTTTAGCGTATAAACAAAAATAAAATTTTTGCAACAATTACTCAATGGGCACAAAAATTAGTAAGATATCCCTAGGATATCCTTTTATGAACGTTCTTGGGACATTGTACATATAAAAGTCGTCGTTATTGGTATGTACTAAGATATTTTTAATGTTTACTCATGTCTAGCATTTGTTTGATATTTGTTATGGTTGTTCTTAAACAATTTTTATGTTCCATGTTCATAATATTTTGAGTAAATAAAATTCTGAAATATTTATTTTAAATATTTAGTTCTTTAAAAAGACAACGAGTTGTTACCTTTTCTGCACCTTTACTTTGATATGGATATTCTTCTGGTGGCTGCTAAATGAATAAAATAATATTTATATTTGGGTGATTTTTCACGAAGTAATAACGGTGACATTTCTTTAAGAAAATAATGTTTTGAAAATTTCCTATGTAGATATTTTTAATAAAATTGGAAAATAATTATAATTATTATTACACAAACTATTATCAAATAAAAAAAATTCTGTAAAAAATTGCATTTTGGTCAATCTTTCCAGACATTTGCGAGAAAACGTAAAAATCATAAGTTTCGTTTAAAATATGATATTTTTTAATTCTGATATTACTAAAAACTATAATAAAGATTAATTGTGCAAAAGTTTAAAGAAGATATTTTTGAAGTTATTAAATAGGGAATAGTGGGGAATTAGAAGTGATCATATTCAATGAAGAATCAGCCTTATACCTAATAGATATTAAAGACATTATTTTTAAAAATTAAAGTGTAGTATTATAATGAAATATACCTCAGAATTATTGATATCCGAATCACCTGACGGTCGTAAGGTCACACCTGAAAATTATGGCTCTTGAATTATCTAAAATAAGGCAGATTTCACGACAAATGTTCATCCAAAATAAAAATGTTAATTAATCAATCCATAGACCCGAAAACAGTGAAAACTTCAGTGAAGACAATAAATATAGACTATTTATGATTTTATTAATAACTAGCAAAGTCCTACGCGCGCGATGCGCGCGTGAATGATTTAAAGAATTATCACGTTAGCAATCTGCTTTCTACAGAAAAAATTTAATAATTTCAATTTATATTCTTGCATGTTTACAATAGTTATGATTTTTTAAAAAATCTCGGTATTTCAACTATATTATCATTTCCACGCCTCAGATTAATGGCTTCTGTTATTAAAATAAATATAATTATCCAGTGAAAAAACATGCCTCTACTCAACTCAAGTTTCAAATGTAATTTTTATACATGTAATTTTCTCATGAAATCCCTCTTTAAGCTCATATAAATGTAATAAAATTCAAACTCAAAAGATTTAAATTATAATTTTTGCAAATATTTTAATTTTCATTCTTATGTTTCTAATAATGGTTGGGGTACAGTTTTTCTAAATCGTATTTTCTAAAATTTTTTTTTCTAATAAAGGTGAATTTCTAAAAAAAAATTTTCTAATAAAGGTGATTTTGAAATTTTCTGTCTTCTAATAAAGCTAATTTTCTAAAAATTTATTTTTCTAATAAAGGTAATTTTCAAAATTTTTCTTTTTTCTAACAATATTCTATTTTTGTAATCACGATCAATAAGTACATATGATTAAAAAATAAAATTTACGAAACTTTGTTAATTCTTTAAAAAATTACTTGATATTTTGTTAAAAAATTATAATAAAAAATAGAAATTATGCAAATTACTTAACAAAATTTTTAAATAATCTAGTTAAAAATCGTAATTAACAAATTATAGGGATTTTTTCCCTAAAGATATTTAAAATTTTCTAAAAAATTTTTTTTATAAATATATTAATTTTGGAAATTTAAATGTAAAAATGATGTAAATTATTTTTTTTCAAAGAAGAATAGAATTTTGTTAACAAATTGTGATAAGAAATAATAATTTTATAAAAAATTTTCTTCATTTTCAAAAAGAAACTTATAATTTTGCAAACAGAATTGTAATTGAGAAACAGAAAATTTAATCTTTATTTTTAAACAATTTTCTAATTTTTATCAAAATTATGGAATTTTACAAATTTTAGGAAAATAAACATTAGAAATTATAACTTTTTAGAAAAACTTTTTCGGAAAACAGATTTAATTAGAAATCGCCTTTTTTTAGACAAAAAGGATTAGAAAATATTTTTTTAGAAAAAGTGTTCGCCTACCCTAATAATTGTTAGTATTCATCCGAAAAATATATTGAATACATTGAAATGTTGATAATAGAAGGAAAGAAATTTTTAATAGAATTTATAAGTATTATTTTTTTGAATTAAATACAAAGTACCCGATTCTGCGTAACCGGAAGGGCAAAAGTATAAAAAAATGTAGAAAATACGGGATTTTTTTAAAAGTTTATTGAATTATCATTTTATAGAAGACTGAATTTACCAAAAGAAATAAAAATTCTAAAGATTTAATTAAAAAATACCATTTGAATCATAAAAAACATACTAAATATTTAAACTTCAAAATTTAAGTGTCTTTAATCAATTTATTTTTGCCAATCAAAAGTGTCAAATAAAATTCAGTTTACTAATTGAATAATATTGTAAAAAAAATTGTTCGATATATAGAATTTAGTCTTTTTATCAATATTAAGTTTGAGAATTTCATTAAATTTATAAGAATTTACAAAATGATAGAGAATTCTTGAAAAAATTAGATGTATTTACCATTTTTAACAGCAGTTGAATAGAGGCACGTCTTAATCATTTTTCTTAAATTTGTAAAAAATTTCTTTGCTTCAAGTGGTTATTACACATATGGGAATACTCATAACCAAACAGTTATATCAAAGACAGCGATGAGTATCAACAGCTTCTGTTCAAAATTTTAATTCTATATTTTTTGAACTAATCAAGTTTAGAAATCGACTTTATTATCAGTGTTACGTATGACTTCGTAACTATTTTTAATTTTTTCATTAATTAAAAATTTGTTTTAATGTATAATTTCATTAAAAATTTAGGAATTTTGTAAATAGAATTAAGTATACTCAATACACATATTATCAAGACATAAGAGGATTTTTACATAATTAACTCATCAATTAATTTGTCTTAAAACTATTTTTTCATAATTAAATTATCCAAACTTAAAAATAACGATAATCATTCTTCATTGGTTTTTATTTCCAATAATATTCAAAATTATTTTTAAAATTATGATTCTAAAATTGGTCGAAAGAATATGGACATCTCTTTTTTTTAAAAGGAAGAGAATTGAAATTAAAAGAAAAGTATTTGTGAATTTACTTATTAAATACTTATTACTTATTTAATACTTATTAAATAATAAATATTTACTTATTTTATTTTTTATTTACTTATATTTGTACTACTTATATATAACTGAGGTGTCTTATTACTGTCTACAACTAAATACAACCTTTTCCTTTTTATACCTTTTCAATATAGAATACCGTCTAATCGGAGGTACTGAATTAATAGTACACTTAAAAAGGGGATCATCTACTTTTCCAAAAATAATATTTATTTTTCGAAGAATTTAACGTTTATCTTGGGGTGAATAAATATTAAATCTTTTAGTTTAACTTATCGAAAATTTCTATATACTTTATTTCAATTTAATGTTACATTACCTTCATTTTTTCTGCATGTATGTAATAATAATAATCAGAATAATCGAATTCATACTTAACAATCAGTGATTTTGTTTTGAATTTTATCATTTTTCTTTGCTTAAACTCAATTTCTATATACTTTATTTCAGTCGACACAGAACTAAATTAACAAACTGAGTTTAGTTTCGTGTCGACTCAAAACATAAGATTGAAAAACATAATTATTTAGTGTCAATCACAGAAAAATTGTTTCCCCTGACTTACGTAACTAGAGCAACGTAAATAATTAATGTAAGTTGCGTAACCAGAGTAAATTACGTAACTACAGTAACTTACATAACCAGAGTAAATTACGTAACTAGAATAACTTACGTAAATGATCAAACTTACGTAAGTTATGTAAGTAGAATAACTTGCACAATTAATAACATTTACGTAAGTTACGTAACTAGAATAACTTAAGCAAGTAAATAAACTTACGTAAAAACTTACGATCAAAATTACTTAGGTTACATAACTTACGTAAGTTTATTTAATTACGTAATTTAGTTTAGTTACGTATGTTTGATTAATTGATCATTTACGTAAGTTACTGTAGTTACTTAATTTACTTTGGTTCCGTAAGTTACTGTAGTTACGTAATTTACTCTGGTTACGTAACTTACATTAATTACTTACGTTGTTCTAGTTACGTAAGTCAGGGGAAACAATTTTTCTGTGATTGACACTGAATAATTGTGTTTTTCAATCTTTTGTTTTGAGCCGAGACGAAACTAAATCTAATTTGTTAATTTAGTTTCGGGTCGACACGAAACTAAACTCAGTTTGTTATTTAGTTTCGTGTCGACTTGAAACTAAAGTCACTTCCCAGTAAAAAAAAAGTATTCAGAATAGAGAAAAAGTATTGGTGGAGACGTTCGGTGACTGTGTTTTCGCGACAAAACCGTATTGGTGGGTTACGGTGAATACATTTTGCTTACCGTGAATACTTTTTTTTAAACTCTCGATTTAAAGATTCCTAAGCAAAGTTGATAATATTTATAAAGAGCGTAAGTGACCTGAAGTATAAAAATGACTATTGCGAGAAGGAAATAAGAAATTTTGAGAAAAAACGAAAAATTAAATGTGATAAACCTACAACGTATGATGATGAAAAGGAACATTGACGATACCGACAGAAACTTGAGAAATCCAAGTAAATGTATGTGGAACAGTAAGTTCCGCCGGTAACGTCAAAGTTCCTTTTAATCATCATACGTTGTAGGCACAGAAAAGCATTTGGTAATTGATCAACATTTGACAATCTGTTTATCACATTTAATTTTTCGTTTTTTCTCAAAATTTCTTATTTCCTTCTCGCAATAGTCATTTTTATACTTCAGGTCACTTACGCTCTTTATAAATATTCTCAACTTTGCTTAGGAATCTTTAAATCGAAAGTTTAAAAAAAAAGTATTCACGGTAAGCAAAATGTATTCACCGTAACCCACCAATACGATTTTGTCGCGAAAACGCATTCACCAAACGTCTCTACCAATACTTTTTCTCTATTCTGAATACTTTTTTTTTTACTGGGTTTGTTAATTTAGTTTCGTGTCAACTCAAACACTAAAACGAAATTAAACTTTCGAGACGGTCCCTGCTTTATTTCAATTTAATGTTACATTACCTTCATTTTTTTTACGGTGAAAATCCCCTAGGAAATTAGAAATTGAATTGTAGAATGTTTGATTTGTCACTTTATAATTTTTATTTACATGTTTGTTTACAAATTCTGTAAAAAGAAATTTGGCATAAGTTATAGAATTTTGCAGTGTTTTTAAGAACGCTAAATATAAAATAGTAAAAAGGATATGATTGAGTGAACACCCAGTTTTTTATTATAATGTCAAAAGCATTAATTTTAATCGATCTTGAGGTCTGTCTCGGAAACACAAAAAAGAATCTCAAAGTGAGAAGATAATTCCGCTTAACAATTATTTTTACATTTTATTTTCAATATACAAATATTCCCAGGTGGAAAAGTTAACGTTAGTTAACGTCAGCTAATGCTACTAATGTTAGACTAACATTAACTAACGTTAACTAACTTTAGGCTAACGACATTTTTTGATCACTAATATCAGATTATAACGTTAGTTAACATTAGTTAGCATTAGTTAACATTAGTTAACGTTAGTTAACGTTAATCTAACGTTATAGTAGCATTATTTTTCTTTTTCGTACTCTGGGGTAGTCTTATTTGCACTCCGTACGAATAAGAGCTCTTATGACGCTCTGTTCAAGAAAAGGCAGTTTTCTACTTATCTCCGGAGTACCAAAAAACGCCGTTTTTATGACTGAGTTATAAAAAGAAGATTTTTATGTTGCTTTTTGTTTTTCTGAATGCAGCTTCAAACTTTAAAAAGCGTTATTTAATAGAAAATATAAAAGAGGAAAATCTTCTCAATTAGAAAAGAAAAATTTAGTACCCACATATAAGAGGAAAAAATTATGCAAAAGAAGAGAAATCGTGTAAAATTGAAATTTTTTTTTCGGTGAACAAGTATTTTGATTTTATAAAAAGTTGTGACATCTTAATGATATTGCGACTTCTGTTATACTCACTAAAGATAGCTATTTTGACATTTTTAGGTAAGCGTTTAGAACCAGAGTTTCCTTTTATGGTGAAATATTTTAAATTGTTTTTTCCAATTAAGCTTTCTAATAACAGTGTAATCAATTTTATTGGTTTATTTTTAAAATTTTTAACATATGATTTAAGTTCATTTTTAGGTATCCAAATTTTTGAATCTTTCAGCAATTCAACCTGAAAGATTTAATGATGTTTAAAAATTCTCCTAAATTTATAATTAACTAAATTAATTAACAAACCAATTAACAGCACCTATCAAACCAAATGTTTGATTGGACAAAATGAATTATTAATAGTCGTCTTTCTAAAAAAATGCTACGTTACCTTATTCTTTCCTTTCTTTTGATATGGACATGAGTTTAGTGTCTGTAAAGTAAATATTGTGTATTTTAAATTTTACAGTTTTTTAGTAAATGAAAAACTAAATGCAACCCTTTAGGTCTAGAAAAACTTGAAGCGTCTTGTACCTTGTGCTCCTGTGTATCTGTTATTGGTTTTCCTATAATAAACATTTTTTAAATTTATTTATACATTTTAATAACTAATTTTTAATTTTTAAGTTTTTCTGAGTTGTAAAATTTTATAAATCTTAATTAAAGTACATGAGACTAAAGTAAATTAATTTTTCTACGAAGAAACGAAGAGAGTTCAAAAATTGAGCTTTCCAATTCTATAACTCTCCCGACGCAGGTACTAATACACCAAGATCAAATATTTTTAGCTCGTGACATACGAATGTTTATTCGATAGAATAAATAGAAATTATATGACTTGTAAAAATTTCGTCAAACCGGACGGTTTGACGGTATTAGAGCGTGCATTCAAGCGTCAGGTAAGTTCTAGAACTGGGAGGCTTAATTAAACATATGCTTTTTGTAATGTATTAGATAATTTACCTAGATCCCGCAAGGGTCCTGGTGTCATTTTGACTATCTAGAAAATCCCATTCGTAAGAAAAGAATGAAGATACGTCTATTCTTTTCTTATTAATGGGATTTTCTGGTTAGTCTACATGACACCAGAATCCATGCTAAATCTAGGTAAATTATCTTTGGTAATATTACCTTTCTGTAATTTCTTTTTGAAGCGTAAAATATCTTTGACTATAGTTTGGTAATTTTCGTATGTTTTTTTTTGTTCAGGAATTACATTTTCATTTATAAATTCTGTAAAAATAAATCAATTTTAATATAAAACTTGTAGCCAATTTACAAACACTAACCTTGCGATTGTTATATACTATATATCTATTAACTTAATCTTGTAATTAACAAATTAATTTTGTCAGAATTAAACTTAAGTTAAATAAAAAATAACGCAAAGTTATTCTTCACCAAAAATGGATTCCTTTAATTCCAAAGGAATAGATGTATATCCAAATCGCCCTCCCCAAGTGAAGGATAACATATCCTCTTTGCCAAGTAAATTCTCTAATAACAATCTTATCATGGTGGCTGCATTGTCGTTGAATTCACTTTTAATAGATTTAAGTTCATTTTTGTCAATTAAAATGTTGGATCCTTTCAATAATTCCACCTTCAATGTAGAATAAAAATTCAGAAATTATGAGAATTTAATATCATTCTAGCAACGCTATCTTGAAATTATAATCAGGTGAAAACTTTTTTGTTAATTTATAATTAACTAAATTAACTAAACCAAATGTTTGATTAGAGAAAAAAAATTATTGAAACTCGTTTTTCTAATAGAAACAAAAACCTGTTACCTTATTATTTCCCCTTTCTTGATATGGATATAAATTTGGTTCCTATCAAATAAATATTATTTTTTTATCTCTATAGTATATTCAAAAATAAGTGCTACTCTTAAAGGTTAAAAAACTAGAAGTGTTATGTACCTTCAATTTCTGATCGTTTGGATTAGTTTTTCCTGCAATAATTTTTTTCAATTCTTTTAAAAATTTTAATGACTTATTTTGAAAATTTGTTTATGTAAGAATAGTATATTAAACGAAATTTGTTTAGCTAGTTTACTATAAATGTCAGAAATAAATGTTTTATATATTTTAATAAAATTATTAAAGCGAGAAATGTTTTTGTACATAGAGTACAAATGATGCACTTTAAAACTAGTTTCAAATTTTAGCTTCCCTACAAAGATGTTAAATATTGTTCCTGAATTAAAGATGTACTGTTTGTATTATTACCTCTCTTAAATTTGCTTCTTACACTTTTTAAAATTTTCAATACTAAAGCTTGGTATGTCTTCTTGTTCACTTTATGACCAGTATTCACATTTAAATTCGTAAAATCTATTAAAATACATAATTTCTTGATGTGAAGTTTTAAAAACAATTGGCAAACGCTAAACTTGTAATTGTTATAGACTGCAACTGTAAACTAGACTGTAGGTAGCTATAACAAATTATCGCTCACCAAAAATAGATGTTTTCAATTCCTGAGGAATGGTTCTACTTTCACCGTCACGCCAAATCATTAACGGCAAAATCTCCTCGCCAAGTAATTTTCCTAGTAACTCTCTTATCATCTCTTCTGTTTTTGTTTTGAAATATCTTTTAATCCACACAAGATCCTTCTCATATATCCAAATTCCGGAATTACTTAATAATTCAACCTTTAACGTATAATATGAATAACAAATTCGTGTTAGTTTAATACTATTATATTACTTAGCTCCCTACAAGCTAGCATTATTTTATTTGTTTAAAATACCAATTTAATATGTTCTAATATTCTGTGTGTGGATAAGGGACTAATGACGGAAGAATAGAGCTCATTAGTGTAGTCAACATTCAGAAAAAAGTGGTTAAGCTATAGAGGAAAGTTAAGGTTATAAGATGCCATAATCTTTAAATCTTTATGCTTCAGGTGATGAAAATTTAACTATACGCTAACTGATTATAATAAGAACCTATATTATGTTCTCTAAAAGCAAATTAAGCAACGTTACCTTCCCTTCCCTCTCTTCATAAGGATAAGAGTCAGGTCTCTGTAGAATAAATAAAATATTCGGTTATTTTCTAATCATTCAAAAATTAGTTAAGAAATGTTGCTTTCCTTAAAGTAAATGAAATTGCCATTAACCTTGAAAAATGTCGTTTCTGCATTTATTCTACTACGTGTTGTAGGACTCTTCTTCGTTAATGGCGAACTTATATCTGTAAGCTTCTTACTTCTTCTAGTATCTTAAGAAGAAATATTATTAAGTAAAAATAAATGAATTTGAAATTTGTATTTGTGATTTAGACAAATCTGACTTTTGATCATAATTCTTGGACAACAAGCAGCTTAGTGGTCACAAGGACGTCTAAAAACATCCCTTTTTGTCCGAGGACATCCGGAAACCATAATGATAATGTCTCGGAGAAAGTGATCTTAAAAACGCTAATAAGGTATTTCATGCCCAGTGGGCAAAAAACCATCATTGTTTTAAAAACGTTCCAAAAACGTTTTTAGAACGTTTCATGTCTGCAAAATAATGTTCCAAAAACGTTCCATTGCTTTTAAAACGTTTTAGAACCATATCACTTTTTTAAGACATTATTTAGCAGACATGAAACGTTCTAAAAACGTTTTTGGAACGTTTTTAAAACAATGATGGTTTTTTGCCCACTGGGTGTCTAGTTCAAAAGATATACAAAAATCATCCTAAAGGACGTCTGAAATCTAAAATACATCTTAAAGACGTGTTTTGAAGATCTGAGAGACGTAAAAGGGATGTCTTATAATTTATAAACATCCTTTTCAAATTATCTTAGACTAAATAGACTGATGAGAAAGATTTAAATAAGCTACATATTTTAAAAACATCTTATACTACTGACAGTAATAAATATTTGGACTTGCTTTGTATGTTGGATCTTGAAGGAATGTCTGTAACAAAATTATTTATTGTTCTTTATTTCACTAGATTGTTTAAAAAATGTATATTAATAATTTAGATGTACGTAAAAGAGACTAAATAATGTCAAAGTAATGAAAGTTATTGATTGAATTTACCGTCATTAATCTCGTCCATGATATCTGTAATAGAATGAAAACTGTAACACTGACACTATTATGTTATGTAACATAAGGTATACTACCTTCTGCTCTATTCTCTCCTGCAACAATATTTGAATATTTGAATATTTTAAAAAATTGGTATACTAGTGACAATAATGAATATTGGAACATGCCTTGTATGTTAGATCCGGAAGGAATGTCTGTAACAAGAAAATTTATTGTTCTTTATTATGCTAGATGGTTTTAAAAATGTCTCTTAATAATCTACATGTATGTAAAAGAGATTAAATAATGATATAGAAAGGAATGTTTTAAATTGCATTTACCGTCAGTACTCTCGTCCATGATATCTGTAATAGAATAAAAACTGTAACACTGTCACTATTCTTTTATGTAAGATTTTAAGGTATACTACCTTCTGCTCTATTCTCTCCTGCAACAATATCAAAATATTGTTCAGGTCTATTAAACAATGTGACCAAGAAAGAAAAATTATTATTCTTTTTTAATAGACTGCTAAAAAGTATTTGAATATGCGACATATTTTAACAAATTGGTATACTAGTGATAATAATAAACATTGGGACATGCCTTGTATGTTAGATCCGGAAGGAATGTCTGTAAAAAGAAAATTTATTGTTCTTTATTATACTAGATGGTTTTAAAAATGTCTCTTAATAATCTAGATGTGTGTAAAAGAGATTAAATAATGATATAGAAAGGAATGTTTTAAATTGCATTTACCGTCAGTACTCTCGTCCATGATATCTGTAATAGAATAAAAACTGTAACACTGTCACTATTCTTTTATGTAAGATTTTAAGGTATACTACCTTCTGCTCTATTCTCTCCTGCAACAATATCAAAATATTGTTCAGGTCTATTAAACAATGTGACCAAGAAAGAAAAATTATTATTCTTTTTAATAGACTGCTAAAAAGTATTTGAATATGCGACATATTTTAACAAATTGGTATACTAGTGATAATAATAAACATTGGGACATGCCTTGTATGTTAGATCCGGAAGGAATGTCTGTAAAAAGAAAATTTATTGTTCTTTATTATACTAGATGGTTTTAAAAATGTCTCTTAATAATCTAGATGTGTGTAAAAGAGATTAAATAATGATATAGAAAGGAATGTTTTAAATTGCATTTACCGTCAGTACTCTCGTCCATGATATCTGTAATAGAATAAAAACTGTAACACTGTCACTATTCTTTTATGTAAGATTTTAAGGTATACTACCTTCTGCTCTATTCTCTCCTGCAACAATATCAAAATATTGTTCAGGTCTATTAAACAATGTGACCAAGAAAGAAAAATTATTATTCTTTTTTAATAGACTGCTAAAAAGTATTTGAATATGCGACATATTTTAACAAATTGGTATACTAGTGATAATAATAAACATTGGGACATGCCTTGTATGTTAGATCCGGAAGGAATGTCTGTAAAAAGAAAATTTATTGTTCTTTATTATACTAGATGGTTTTAAAAATGTCTCTTAATAATCTAGATGTGTGTAAAAGAGATTAAATAATGATATAGAAAGGAATGTTTTAAATTGCATTTACCGTCAGTACTCTCGTCCATGATATCTGTAATAGAATAAAAACTGTAACACTGTCACTATTCTTTTATATAAGTATTATAAGGTATACTACCTTCTGCTCTATTCTCTCCTGCAACAATATTCAAATATTTATTAGGTCTATTAAAAAATGTGACCACGATAGAAGATAATTATTGTGTTTTATATGGGAGTGATGAAAAGGATTCAAACATTTTTAAAAATTGGTATATTAGTGACAATAATAAATATTGTGACGTGCCTTGTATGTTAGATCCGGATGAAACGTCTGTAACAAGATTATTTATTGCTTTTTATTCTACTAGATGGTTTAAAAAATGTCTATTAATAATCTAGAAAAATTTTCCACCCACCCCCACTTAAGTGACCTTACGTAATTTATCGACGGCTCTCGGTATAAGTGATGCATGTCGAGCATATAGATGTCATTTGTTTTTTCGTCTTCTTTCATAAAAGAAGTAAGATGAAACTACAAAATTCAATTGTTTTCATTGTTATTTTGTCGATATTCTCGACTTTGACGAGAAGTTGTCGATCGAGACTCATTCGACATGCAACACTACCGGTATAATTAACAACGAAATCAAGCTAATAAATAAATATAAGTCGTATGTTTAACAAATAGAAGGATAAAAAAGATTTAATAGTGTGAAATATTTAAGAAAAATTTTATAATACTGGAGTAACATATAATATTGCTCGATATATTGGGACTTGCTTTGTATATTAATTGTGTATACCTGGATAAAGCACGTATGTAAGATCTGTAATGATATAAAAGCATAACTTTTAAAAGTCTTATTGTATAAAAAGTATTAATACAGTTTGTTAAATGTCTATTAACAGCCTATATGTATGGAAAATAATTTAATAATGTTATAGAAAAGCATATTAATTATGTATACCGTCATTAATCTCGTCCATGACATCTGTAATAAAATAAAAGCAGAACTTTTAAAATTCATATTGTATAAAAAGTGTTAATATAGTAAGTTATACTATATTGTATTAGCTATTAGGAGAGACAGTTTCCTGGCAACCTGTTTATAAAGAATCAAAATTCAAATGGGGTTTCCTTAAACGCTTTTTTTAAACAACAAACATTTTAGACGTTTCCCAGCTTAAAATTCCCGTACAGGATCCCGATCAGGATCCTGTACGGGATTTTCCCAGCTGAAAAAAATCGCCTGAATTTTCCCATGGACTTTTCAGGTAGAAATCCATATGGAGATTTGAAACTATCCACATGAAATCCGCATGGATTGCCATGTGGATTTCCGCATGGATTTTTTTATATTCTTAATAAACTCCAAATATGAACAAAAACCTCTTTAAAAATGCAGAAAGTAGTAAGTGAGACCCCTTTGGGGTCTCAGAATTCGAATTTGATGTTTATTTTTGAAAATATTTAAAAATAGAAGAAATGGAAAATTTCCATGTGGATTTCCATGTGAATTATTTCAAATCTCCTCATGGATTTCTGCGTAAATTTCCATGTGGAAAATCCAGACGAACTTTTTCAGTTCCAGTACGGGCTTTTGGGACAAATTCCTGTGCAGGTTCCTTATCTATAAAATGTTCCTGTTAACAGTGCGACCAAAAAATGGATAATTATTATGTTTTATAAATGGAGTTATAAGAGAGATTGAAAAATATAACATATTTTAAAAACTTGTTATTCTATAGTGACAGTAAGAAATATTGGACTTGCTTTGTACGTAAGATCTTAAAGGTGAGCCTGTAACAAAATAATTTATTATTCTCTATTAGGCTAAAATGTTTAAAAGGTGTTTATTAAAAATCTACATGGGTCAGTCCATTATATTTCACCTGAAGCCGTTGCGGCCTATTTTTAAAAAAATCTCATAATTTGTAAAAATGATGTTTAATATCCATAGAATTCATTTTTGAGAATTCTTTTATAAAATTTTTTGAATTAAACTTAGAATTTTAATTTTTAAGTTGAGTTGCACAGTAAAAAGGTTAGATTGACAGTTCTGATAATTTAATAAAAAATCATGGAAATAATTTAGATAATACAAATTTCTTGATTGATATTTGTTAAAAATGAGCTAATTTACTTGTATAAATAGATTATTATGTAAACATACCCAAAATAATAGATAAAAAATGATTTTAAAACTTAACTATAAAATGTCAAAAGTCACTACATTTTATTTACACTTTTCTAAAAAGTTTAAAAATATTAAAAAATTTATTACTACATAATGTAAAGTACTTTCAATATACTTTTATATTATGTGCTAACTTTTTAATTTTATAATAAAGAAATATGAAAAATTTTACCTTTAATATTGAATGTTTCATGATTTTCAGTGATTTTAATCACTTATTTCTTCTCAGGTGCAAGACTAAAAAATCCAATTTTTGTCTTAATATTTAAGTTTGACCTTCTTTTCCATTCTATTAAATTTTGGTGATGGAGAACGAGCTACTTTGTAGTTTTATTCATGTTTAAAAAATCTGCTTCCAAAAGCGAGTTTGTTGGTTAAAATGCAGGTAATTTTATAACACTGAAGTTGGCTATCTCAATAGTTTTGCAAAAATCTACTTGCATTTTAACCAACAAATTCGTTTTTTCAGCAGATTTTTTAAACTGAAAAGTAATTTGTTCTCCATCACCAAAATTTAATAGAATGGAAAAGAAGATCAAACTTTAATATTAAGACAAAAATGGGATTTTTTGGTCTTGCACCTGAGAAGAAATAAGTGATTAAAATCACTGAAAATCATGAAACACTCAATATTAAACGTAAAATTTTTTATATTTGTATATTATAAAATTAAAAAGTTAGCACATATTATGAAAGTACATTAAAAATACTTTACATTAAATAGTAATAAATTTATTAATATTTATAAACTTTTTAGAAAAGTGTAAATAAAATGTAGTGACTTTTGAAATTTCATAGGTAAATTTTAAAATCAATTTTTATCTATTATTTTAGGTATGTTTACATAATAATCTATTTATACAAGTAAATTAGCTCATTTTTAACAAATATTAATCAAGAAATTTGTATTATCTAAATTATTTCCATGATTTTTTATTAAATTTTCATAACTGTCAATCTAACCTTTTTACTGTGCAACTCAACTTAAAAATAAAAATTCTAAGTTTAATTCAAAAAATTTTATAAAAGAATTCTCAAAAATGAATTCTATGGATATTAAATATTATTTTTACAAATTATGAGATTTTTTTAAAAATAGGCCGCAACGGCTTCAGGTGAAATATAATGAACTGACCCACATATTTGTACACTACCGGTCAAAATTGAGAGACCACCCATTTTCAAACGATTGAAAAACATTTTAAAACATAAAATGTATGGAAACTAAAATTTTTTTCTTTTTATTTTTTAAAAGATGTTAAAATTTTGAAAAGAACAAGATCTTTTAGAAGTCATTTGGCAAATATTTAATTTAGATATTTTTAAAAAATCGTCTTTTTCAATATTTTACAAAAATTTGAATAACTTCTAAAATAATGAACGCTTTTAAATGATCTTAGGCTTATTTAGTGATAGATCGTCCAACGTCCTTCCGGCAGGACGAAAAAGACTCAGGTGAGTCCCTCCGAAATCACTAAAGAAAACTAACATGGATTCAGATAAATAAAAAATGATATATATCATTGGAAAGGTAACGAAACAAGCTTTCAGCGCATATAAATATCGAGCTTGTAAGTTCAAAACTAAGTACTGGGTAGTTTAAAGAAGTTAAATTTTCCAAAAATTTACATAATTTTTAGTCACAGAATGACGAAGCCCGGTCCTGCCGGCAGGACGCTTTTCGCTTTATTTAAGAGACTACCTAGCCCAGGTATATAAATTTAAAGACTCGATATTCACATCATTTGAAAGCTTGTTTCCTTACCTTTCCAACGATATATTTAGTTTTATATTTATCTGCTTCTATATTAATTTTATAGAGCAATTTCGAAGGGACTCGCGCCTGAGTCTATACTCAGATATACTGAACAATATTAAAAATGATTTTTTTTAATTAAACATTTAGGTTTCATTCTTTGAACGTTTGTGAAGAGAACGAGACTTTTCCGGTAAAAAAATATTGATTTTTGGGGATTTTACATTAAATTTACGAAAAAATGTTTTTTTCACTGTTTAGAAACATAGCAAGTTTGAAGGCTTTAAAAAATTGTTTAATATTATTATTTTAAAAAGTCAAAAATATGGATTTTTTCGTCTTTTAGTCTGCATTTTCTATGAAAAAAATTACACGTTAATGCCTATAAGCAATTCTTATAGTGTAACAAATGACCTTTAAAATAAGCCAAAGATCTTTAAAAAGCGTTAATTATTTTAGAAGTTATTCAAATCTTTGTAAAACATTGAAAATGACGATTTTTTAAAAATATCTAAATGAATTATTGGCCAAACGACTTCTGAAATATCTTGTTTTTTTCAAAATTTTATCATCTATCAAAAAATGAACAGAAAAAAATTTTAGTTTCAATAAATCTTATGTTTTAAAACGTTTTTCATTCGCCTGAAAATGAGTGGTCTCTCAATTTTGACCAGTAGAATAAAAGTGAATTAATAACATTATAGAAAACAATTTTATTAAATGAATATACCGTCATAAATCACGTCCTTGATATCTGTAATAGAATAAAAACTGTAACACTGTCACTATTATGTTATGTAACATAATTATAAAGAATATGTTTACTGGAATATAATTTTACTACTGTTGTTTACTCCTTCGGGATGTAACATTTGATTACATAATGTATATATATAATGCTATATATACTATAACGGATGTCTTACTAGTGTTGTTAATATTTCTGAAATTATTGTTAACTTTATTACTCTGAATGAGGTTATTTTATTTTAAGAAATTATTTTTATTTACTTCCGAATCAACAAACTAATTAAAAACACACGTTACTTTGTTGTTGAATTAATTGCCCGACGCCAGAGATATTTTATGGAAAAATATTCAAACCTAATATTTAATTAATTTCACGCTAGCTCAATCTTTTCAAGGAGAGCGCGGGGTAAGAGAAATCACAAGTTAGTTTTTAATTTTTGATTTAATAAC